ATCATTGTTTATTTCATTCAGAAAATGTATCTGTAAATATGTACAAATACATCATTTCAAAGGGGGCAAACCAATTTACATGCGTGGGGGTCATAGTTTGCAATGGACCATGGTCCACTGGGCCAAAATGGTCGTAAATGAGTTGCTTATTATTACATTTTTGGCATGCATATATTTTTACTACTCAATTTCAGACTTTGGTGCCCATTTGATATGCAACATTATGTATGCATCAGATGTACCCGATGTGCATACAAGAACCCCAAGTATATAGTTTTATTCCGTGACCCCACTGGCGTTCATCACACGCCACTAAGGAGGAGAGCGTCACCACCTGCCCTTCACAGATCTCGATGCCCTTTGGATATGTGGTAGGGTCCTATGAGTGTACTAAAACCCTGAAGTGGTTTGACTCCATGGCCACATTTGCGCCCGCCACACCCACTCAAAGTGATGAAAACCACAAAAGTTATCAACTTCAAAAATCCACCAAAAATCCAATTTTGCGCGGATTTTGATAAAATTAGCATTTTTGTGATCCCAGATACTTGCCTGATAATATTCAATAGCAATCTCAACTTTTTTGAAATTTTCGAAATTTTCGAGCTGATGAACTATTCGAAAAAATTCAAAATTTAAAAAAAGTTGGGATATCTACTGGATATGATCACACAAGTATCTGGGATCACAAAAATGTAAATTTTATCAAAATCCGAGCAAAATTGGATTTTTGGTGACATTTAAAGTACATGAAAACAGGGCTATTTTCGTGTTTTTGGCGCCTTTGAGTGGGTGTGGCGGCCGCAAATGTGGCCATGGAGTCAAACCACTTCAGGGTTTTAGTACACTCATAGGACCCTACCACATATCCAAAGGGCATCAAGATCTGTGAAGGGCAGATGGTGAAGCTCCCCTCCTAAGCGAAATGTACTGATAAGGTTTGGCCAAAAGTCCTGAAGGGTTTCTCTAATGAAATTTTTGCATATGCCGGGCCCTCATGGCCTCAAACACGATAATAATAAAATTGAGGAGCCACACCCACTATGGGTGTGGCTTTTTCATATTGCATATAGGGCCAAAGGCCATACCAGAAACTGTTGCCCATGCGATTCTATACATACAGTAAAATTTTCATAGAAATCCGTCCACAGGGTCTCGAGATATTAGCTCGGAAACCTCGGCGAAAGGCAAAAATCCACTATTTTGGGGGTGTGATGTTGGATATGATAAAGCAACTATCTGGGATCAAGAATATGTAAATATTATGGGAATCCGAGCACAATTGGATTTTTGGCGAGTTTTTTAATGCGGCCAGTTTGGCATTGGGCGCCCCTTCAAAGGGGTGTGGCTGGCGAACTAGGGCCCATGGACCTTAACCCTCCTTCACTTTTTCTACACTCGTATAGACCTACAACATATCCAAAGGGCATCAAGATCTGGCATTGAAAAGGTCGTACGTACTCCTCCTTAGTTGAAGTAAGATATGGATAAAAGTAATAAAAAAAACTGGTTACTGGCCTCTACAAGGTTGTACATTCTAACATGAAAGTAAAACCCTGAATTTACGGTAAAAGTCAAACAGGAACCCCAAGTGGTGAATGCCCCCACCTGCCGTCCAACGCACTCAGGAGGCGAGCTTCATCACCGGCACCTCCCAGATCTTGATGCCCTTTGGACATGTGGTAGTGTCAGATGAGTGTAGTAAAACCTTGAAGTGGTTTGATTCAGAGGTCAACGCCGACGAATTAGTCGGCGGCGGCGGCGGCGCCAATTTTGGTAGATTTTTTGGCGGCGTGGCGGCGCGGCGCGGCGCCACAATGTTGTAGGAATAGGAAATAAGACTTATCGACGGCGGCGGCGCGTAAAATATTACCGGCGTCTGGCGGCGCGGCGGCGTTGACCTCCACTCTAATGCGCAAAAAACACGAAAAAAGCCTTGGTTTCATGTGCTTTAAAAGTCACCAAAAATCCAATTTTGCTCGGATTTTCATGAAATATAAGTTGTTGACTGGACTTGAATTTTAAGAAGTGTGGCGTGGAAAACGGAAACTTTTAATAACTGTGAGTTGATTTGCTCAACGCGACCCTTTTTATACCTAGTCAGGTACGAATTGTTTTGATAAACTTCCACTACATATTTTCCTTATCAGCTGACTGCCACAGACTCCATCTTCACACAACTAATTAGTCAAGCGATTGGTAATGTAGTCGAGGAAAAATAACTTCAAAATTCCTTCTGTAGGTAAAATGGCAGCTGATTTAGTTAAGAGAGGTGGAATTTTTCAGCTCCACTTGGCTGGGATGCGTCAATGTGAAATTTTCAAAATTCTAATAAAGTCCAAGGTGAGCCGGCAGGCAATCTCCAATACCATTAACAGATATACGAAGACTGGGGGTGTAAACGACAGAAAAAGATTCGGTCGACCTCGGAGTGTAAGGACCCCAGCCATGGTGAAAGCGCTGAAGACAAGGATCCGAGAAAATCCCCGCCGATCTCAGAAAAAGTTGGCCTCACAGACGAAGGTCTCAGTAGGAACAATTAAAAATGCCTTGAAGGAGGACCTATGTGTCCAGGCCTTATGACGAGGTACTTGCCACATGTTGACAAACCAACAACAATTCAAAAGAATTACTAAATGCAGAGCATTGTTGCGCCGGTACGCGGGCGAAGACTACAGAAGAACCCTGTTTACAGATGAGAAGATATTTACTTTCGAAGAAGAATTTAAAAACCAAATGGCCGAATATATGCTAAGCGGAAATCAGACATCCCCCTACCATAAACAAAATCTCAAAAATGTCATCACCCTGGCCCTGTGATGGCTTTTATTGGAAAAAGTCGGCAGCAGAACGCAAGACGCTGTTTTGCGCCAGAAAGGGTTACAGTGGAGGCCAAGAGTTACATGGACGAAGCTTCCAAACCTGTTGTAAAACCTCTGAAGTCTGACCTATTCAAAAATGGAAGTTGGATTTCAAAACAAATCACGGCTCAGTCATATGGTACAAAAGTTGTCAAAAATTGGTTATGAGCTCATTTCATCGATTTCATTTGATCCCAAGAATTATATCACCAAAGGAAGACCTTAATCATCTGGACTATGACTTGCGGCTCAAAATTGAGGCCATGACCTGCACTAAAACCCACATTGGTGCAAAAGTTCTCAAAAAAATTTTATCAGACGCTTGGGACAAATTTCCACTGGAAACCGTGCGTGCTCCAAGGGACCGGCCGCCTATCAGATTTTATAAGTTTCTGCACTCCAGAAGAGGAAATTTTGAAACTTAGTATTTTTACAATATATACAGGTATATTATGCATCCACGAGGAAAATTTGAAATAAAAATTATTACCCGTTATTTCTATATAGTTCAAAACGTTTATCAAAGAATTTTGTACCCGACTAGGTATGTAGGTGGTCCGGTAGAATTTTGATAACATTCATCCTCATTGTGTACGATCGGTTCATAAATAAAATAGGAAAATCCTAAAGTAAATAAGTACCCTATGGTACATATACATATGGTAGATACTTTCTAAATTCACAGAAATGTATATATGTATGTATGTACACACATACACTGATGTAAGTAGAGGGTGTACCGGAAGTAATGCAACTTTGTTAAAATGCATATATGCAAGGGTATCAATTTGCCCCAAATTCAAAATATGGTAAATATTGTAGTCCATAAATTTATCTAGTCGAATCTAAAAACCAGAAGTCGATATCTGTATACGTTCCAAAATGAGGTCAAATACAGGCGAGGAATTAGCAAGAAGCTTCTGCCACTACAGCGAAAAAGTGGTTACGCGCTCCAAGAAATTGAGCTGCGGTCACTTTTAGGAAGAACAAATTCCAAAAGTGACAATTTGTCATATACTACTGAGGTTTGAGCTACAAAAAATTGCTAATCGTAAAAAAAATCTGGTCGACCCATTCGTATGCCAGCTCTCAGCGTCATAAGAATCGTACGAATGGAAATTGGCAGTACCGGAGCGAAACTCGGTAAAGTAATTGAAGTTGACACCTAACACCGTACATTATTTTAAAGCTCAGAAGTTGGACATCAAATTCTATAACGCTGTATAAGCTTATAAATACAGTGAAGAGTAAAATAAAAGTAGCAAGCCAGCGGGCAGAAAAAATACTTGACCTGAAGTAATTAAAATTGATCAAAATTGATCGTCCTGTACAAGACGATTTACTGCTCAGATTATCAAAATGCTTTTATTTGCACATAGTACAACTCTCCCACCTTCAAGAAAACCATTTATGCATAACTGGAAAATAAATTTAAGCCAAAGTATCCCGTTCCGCCTATAAACGGATCAAATGCAATTAGCATGGGAGAGATGAAAAACGTTCCCAAATTTACCAACCAAGAGCCCTATTGAACAATTTTAGCTTTTGTCTATGAAAGAATATTGTAGTCGAAAAACTTCAGCCACAAATTTGAACTTATTTCACCAAATATTGGGTGAAATTTTTTACCACATTTGCGCGCAAATGTGTTCAACAATCTCGGAAAAGGTAACCAAAAAAAGTGGCGAAGCAATAATGGGGGGCGTCCGACAAAAGCTTCTCCAGAATGGGCGGAAGGGGTGTATGGACGATTCGAAGCAAAAAATAATTAGCTTCAACCTTTGTTCCTTTCTGACTAAAATTTCACCTAAACAAATTCACTGGTTTAGTTTATATGTGCATTTGACAAAAGTTGCATTACATCCGGAACACCCTCTATGCTGGTCTACACATTTTTAAAGCACTTTGGTCATTGGGTTGGCCTGATAAAATTAAGGTTAATCAATTGCCTTATATTTATACTAACTATATACAAATGCAAAAAACGTATGTGCCCAAATTTTCCAGGAATCGGTCTTCCATAAAGGTTAAAGAACAATACAGCTCAAATCTAAATAGGGTCCAGCCTTCCCATTCAGTGAAAAAATTTAGATTTTTTTGTTTACAAAATACATTCACAAATTCCAGGAATTTTGGCACTTTCTATTTTTCTTTGCGTAAAAAAGCCACCTTTTCCAAGCTACGTGAACCAACATTTTGGTTTTAGATACATGTCCACTTACTCTTAAGCAGCACATATGTACACAAGTAACTAATAATTAAAGGATCCTACCCAACACACGGTAAGAAACGAAACTTTACCTCGATTGAAGCGGACCAAATTTCAATTTTCTTTAAATAACACGAAATTGGTTTCCTGTTTTAATAAATTTTGAGGGTATGCAGCATTTCTTCGTATCTGTAGTATTCCTCGTATTGCAAAATAAGTTACGGCTGTTACGAGATTTTAAAATGTATGAATTATTGGCACAAACTTGCTGAAATTTTTTATGAACATAACAAACATTTTTCTTACAGATAACAAATAGAATTTGGATAAGCACCTCAATTTCTTGATTGCGAATGTACATAAGTCTACAACTTCAGCAAACACCGAATCCACATGGATCTGACTCCAGGAAATAAATGGGAATGTGCAAAGTGCTCAAAACAGTTTAAAACCAAGGAAAATTTGACCAGACACATGGTCACGCACGATCCCGATGCCAAGGTCAAATGTGAGGTGAGAGAATAAATTTGCTCAAGTGAGACTAATTTTACAATACAATCTACACGTCCTCATTTCTGTACATAGGTTTGCGGCAATATATTCAAAAACAAACGATCCTTATCTTCGCACAAATTGGATATTCACAACGATCGGAAGCAAACGACTTGTGACACTTGTCACCAGGTGTTTTCCACCGTTGGTAATTTACGGCGGCATAATGACACCGTCCACGCCTGGAAACCCCCTCGTTTCTCGTGTCCGGTTCCTAGCTGTAAGAAAACCTACCAACACGAGGACGATGTTACGAAACACGTGGAAACTGAACATGCCCAGAATTCGGTCCGATTTCGATGTACGCTTTGCAGAAGGACGTTCAAAACGAGGGTTGAACTTGAAGCTCACGTTGCGTCCCACACGACGTACAAATGTCCCACTTGTGGGAAGGTTTTCGCCCGCAAGGAACATATGATACGTCACCAGGTAAAGCATTTTTTGGGAAAAACACGGTTCAATAAAATTACCCAGGAGCAAATTCATTTTACAGGTGACACATTTGGAGAAATCTACCCGAGACAGGTTGCAGTGCCCCCTCTGTCCGCAGACCTTCTTAACGAGGCCTGGTCTACAACGCCACATCCGAGTTGCGCATGAAAACCAGAGGAATTATCCGTGCACATTTTGTGACAAGAGATACTCCCAGTCATCTCACTTGAAGCGTCACGTGGAGGTGAAGCATGCCGCGAATAAGGAGTAGGTCCGTTCCTGTTAAAAGTAGAAGAGCCGTTCGAAATATAATTTACCCACTCACAGAATGCGTCACAGTGCAGGGAGGATTTTACTTCTGTGGGAAGAACTTCTTCAATTAATACGAATTTGTCGCACTTGTCGAGTTCATATGAATTTACTTTAGAAAGTTAAAATACGTACATACGTATGTATTTATGTATATAATGGAGACAAAAATAATTTTCGAATTTTTATTAAATTTGCGACATTTTGCAACACACTTCCTTTGTAGAAACCCATACAACTTTTAGTTTCAAATTTATTTACTAACCTGACATATACTTATTTATTTCTATAGAATATTTAACAAATTGTGCTATTTTTGAAAGAATATAACGTGTATGTGTACGTTAGCTTTTTCGGGTACCCAAAGTTGTATAAATATTACCTAATTCGGTTAACGGTTAACTAATTATTTTAACTAATAAACAGCCTGTAAGATGGCAAGTGATTAATAAATTAATCTTATTCAACAAATTGAGAATATTTTTAGTAGTTGCATAAATTTGTTACAGCGTTTTGAAACACACTATCTTGGCGGAAAGTAATTTTGACAATTCAGGAAAAACTTGCACATTAAGAAAAATGCAAAAATATTAAACGGCTTACATATTTTCGACACAGATAAAATTACATTTTGTCTGATGAAAATCTGACTCCAGCCGCTGACCCCTCCGCATTCTAAGCTCATCTTTGTTAACCTTGAACGATGCTAAATGGTAAAAAATGGTATACATAGCCAACAGTTTTGTGTACATGTGTGCATAACAGAATATGCAATGATCCAGCGAATAAGCACAACTATTCACTTAAACCAGACAACAGAATACAGATAATGTAGTCAATGCTAATAAATAATTACCACTGCAGTTTTATACAAAAATAAAGGAAATGAAAAAATTGAGAAATACTACATTCTTAAAAACCCGGTGTTAAGGTGGGTCCAGGTCCAGTTGTATTCGGGGAATTTAGAAAAATTTTGAATTTTTTTTCTGTTTACAAAATACGTCCACAAATTTTTACTCGGGATTAAAAACCAAACAGCAGTCAGGTTTTGAGTATTAAGGTAATCCAAAGTATTGTCAATGCGAAGAAGTTTAAATACAAAGACACACTGCTGTCCAAATTTACATAATCCTACTCTGTAGTATAGAGTTTGCATGTATGTATGTACATACATGTGTGTAAGTAAAGTAGTTGGAGATCATAAAATGTTTGGGGTCAGGGTGACCTGTCAGTCTAGACGTCGACGGAGGGGACCCAGTAGTTTTATGAGCACTCCCATCCCTAAGCAGACGGAAATGCCCATCCCTCGTAGTGAGCGCGCCCATCCCTCGAATCGAGTAACTGCTAAATTGGCAATTCTCCTCCAAGAGGGAAAAGCTAGCACGCGCGCATAGGTGGTCAATTTTAAGTGTTCTCCAACAAATTAGTCCAGTAATTATGCAATTACCATAATTAGTCCAGTAATTATGTAATTGCGCATAGATAATTGCATGCTAATTACGAACTTATTACAACGTCGATAAATTTTTTGCAAATTGAAATTAACGTTTTTCTGATTTGTAAATCAGAAACATTTAATATCTCCGACTCTGTAGATGCATCGGTATAACAAGGTGCAAAATTACAAAATTTAATATAATATGATGCAAATGTAAGTAAAATATAATATAGATAATGGGAAATATTTAGTCGTTTTATTCCTCGCGGTCATCGCTGTCATCTTCGTTTTCCTCCTCACTTGACTACTGATCGTTAATGTCGTAAAACCAAAAATAAATATCTTCACGAATGCTTAATATTTTATCTGTGAACAATGTCGAAAAGAATAGGCAAAGACACAAAGCGCCACAGCCAATGTAAATAAAAGCAGGTGAAAGTTCTTTAACAGTTGCCCACAAAGTTAGATCAACAGATACGTCATAATTTTGTCGAATGGTAATGTTAGGGAAAACCTAACCAATTGTATTTGCAAGTAATCCCATTCTTTTTACGCTTGCGGCATATTCAAGATTGGTTTTAAAATGCAAAGTGACGAAGCTTATGTCATTTATAAAGTTCACAACTTTGTTAACAACAATCGGTTCGAGCTGGGACTTGACCAATGCAATATACGCACTACGAAGACCGGTGTGCATATCGTAGATAGTTTTTAGTATAAAAAGCACTTTTAATTGATTTGTCGACGTCACATGTTCCACCAATTTGCACTAAATTCTGACTGTCAATGTCTGGAAATCTTACCACCGCTATGTGGTGAACAACGCTAGAGCAAATTGGTGGGGTCGGGTTTGTGCTTGCCATTAGTTTTTATATTTATCCGGCGAACTAAATGATGCTTATCTTACGTATGACCCGTTGGTTTTTGACACGTGTTGGCTATTTGTATTTGCTGGTACTTGAGGGTCTCTCATTTGGTCTCTCATTGGGGGTACTTAACATAGCAAAGTCGTGGAATTGGTTGCAATAAGAGAATGAAATTGTAAATTTACATTAATACGCATGTTTCGTGTTGCTAATAAATGATTACAAGAGATTTGAAGGTGACTTCCAATAATGTGTTGAATTTAGCATATATACACATATATATAACCACCCCCTGGTTGGAGGTGACATATTACGCTTAAAGTGCTGCGTTTCACGTAGTTCGTGGGCATGCATGCATTCCCATGCGCGGTGAGGTAGGCGTCAGCAACCAATTATAACAAGATAACTTTTTTTTCGCAGCGGGGAATATTTTTTTTAATTTTTATAAAATTAAGTGTAAAATTATGAATTTTTTGCCCCGGTGCGCTTTTTTAAATTTTGAAATTTCACGAAAAAATCAGCAGAAAACGTACATTTTCAAAAAACCAGGGACGTATATGCCCATTCCTCTCACTGAAAAGGAATGGGTCTTCCCATCCAAGATTTTATTTTATTTATTTTCAAGTGAGGGACGTATATGCCCATTCCCCTCGCTCAAAATGAATGGGCCTTTCCGTCTTTTTAGGGATGGGAGTGCTCATAAAACTACTGGGTCCCCTCCGTCGACATCTAGACTGCCTGTAGGATTTGTGGAAGGAGCTTAAATATGCAATAAAGTGCTGAATAATTTGTATGCAGTCGAATTGCGTCAACAAGTCAGAATTTTGGCGTTAAATGTAAACAATCGTATCGTAAGCCGTTTTTACAGAAGTATTTAGATTCTAAATAAATTTGATTATGATTTACTAATGGTTGAGTAAATTTGAGATTAGACAATTAGTTAAGAATTATGAAACGTCGTTGGATTTTCACTCCACCAATAATAGTAAGTCATGGCTCATGAATAAAGTATGTGCTTATTTCATATTACCCGCATTTTATTATTTCCCATGAAACGGCATATTTTTGTACAATACATTACATTACGTACATACATCGGTAGCATAATAAACGAGAATAGTAACTTCATTGTGGGAATGAATAAAATTGAAAAATTGTAAAAAAATATTCATTACAAATTTTTGTTGTCAAATCAGGCAACATTGGTTCTTCGAAATAAGATAAATTAACGAACACGAACAGTTTAAAGTTACAACAAAGTATTGTTACTTTGGGTCAAAATTTGTTAAATATGACGAAAATAAGGCACTCAATTAATTTAGAAAGATCCCGTGCTGCAGCAGAAGCGTTTGCTGAAGGTGCATCCGTCTTTTTTGATGTAGCCTTGGAACTGGGACTGGGCGTGGTAGGTCTCGGTGCAGGCTGCGGCGGTGTCCTTCCAGGCGGGGTAGCAGTTCGTGGTTCCGAGGTCCTTGGAGTTGCTGCACTCGGCGTTGTCGTCGTACACCCAGGCGCCGTCCTCCCACTTCCGCCCATCCACAGACACACCCACGGCAAGGACGACGAGGACCAGGACAGCGGCAAACTTCATGGAGTTCATGGTTGGGATTGGGTTCTGAAAATGTTCAAAATGTAAAACAAAATTAGTGTCAAGGTAAATAGGTAATTTAATTAGACAAAGGAATCAAAATTGTGATTCACAATTTGTGAATAGTTGAAAAATTTCGTATTAAGCTTGAAATGATTTTCAAGATTTATAAAATTGAATTTGTTACCTTGTAAAAAATTGAGGAGTAAGTTTCTGGAAAATCAAATTTTTGACTGCACTTGGATTTTAAGCAGCGTGGAGTGGGCAATGGTCTTTGAATAACTGTGAGTTGATGTGCTCAACGCGACCCCTTTTATAGTTGGTCAGGTAATTTTAGAATTCAGATAACATTCATCCTTATTGTTTGGGATCGGTTCATAAATAAAATAGGAAAACCCAAAATATGATACCTTCTCAATTCTCAGAAATCTACGTGTGTGTACGCGCATATAATTATGTTATCCTGGTCTACTCATTTTTAAAGCACTTTAGTCATTGGGTTGGCCTGATAAAATTAAGGTTCATCAATTCATACAACAGATATGTTCATGTCATAATATTTAGACTCACTACAAATGTAAAAGGTATGTGCCCCAAGTTTCCGGGAATCGGTCGTTAACTAAGGTTAAAGAACAATACAGATTAAAACTAAATACATCGGGTCCAGCCTTCCCATTCGGTTAAAAAATTGGAGATTTTTTTGTTTACAAAATACGTCCACAAATTCCAAGAATTTTGGTACTTTCTATTTTTATATGCGTAAAAAAAGCTACCTTTTTCAAGCTACAAGAACCAACAAATTAGTTTTACATGTTCACTTACTCGTAAGCAGCACGTACAAAAGTAACTAATTAATAATTAAAGGATCCTATGGTGAGAAACGGTGAGAAACAAAATTCAACCTCGAATGAAGCGGACCAATTTTTTTTTTCAATAGCACGAAATTTGTTTTTTGTTGTTTTAATAAATTTTGAGGGTATTCAAGATTTCTTCGTATCCTTTGTATTCTTATCGCAAAATAAGTTACGACCGTTACGAGATTTTTTAAGCGTTGTAAGATTTTGTCACCAAAAATCGGTTACTACGATTTTTACGAACCTTGACCCCTTGTTTTTTTCGTAAACTATTTTACGATAGTAAGGATACGAAGAAATAACGAATATAAGAAACATTCTTGTTACACATAAATAGAATTTGTTTAATCACCTCAATTTCTTGATTGCGAATATATATACATAAATCTACAACTTGAGCAAACACCGAATCCACATCCATGGAACCGACGCCGGAAAATAAATGGGAATGTGCAAAGTGCTCAAAACAGTTTAAAACCAAAGACAATTTGACGAGACACATGGTCACGCACGATCCCGATGCTAAGGTCAAATGTGAGGTGAGCGAATAAATTTGCACAAGTGAGACTAATTTTACAATACAATCTAAATACGCGTCCTCATTTTTGCACATAGGTTTGCGGTAACATATTCAAAAACAAACGATCCTTATCTACGCACAAATTCGAAATCCACATCGATCAGACATGGTGTGCCACTTGTGACCAGATGTTTTCCAGCGTTGATGATTTACGGCGACACAATGACACCGTCCACGGCGGGGAAGAACCCCCTCGTTTCTCGTGTCCGGTTCCTCGCTGTAAGAAAACCTACCAACACGAGGAAGATGTTGCGAAACACGTGGAAACTGAACATGTCCGATTTCGGTGTACGCTTTGCAGAAGGACGTTCGAAACGAGGGTTCAACTTGAAGCTCACATTTCCTCCCACACGAGGTACAAATGTGCTACTTGTTTGAAGAGTTTCGCCCGCATCAGAGACATGAAACTTCACGAGGTAAAGCGTGTTTTTGGAAAAACAAGGTTCAATAAAATTACCCAGGAGCATATTAATTTTTCAGGCGACACATTTGGAAAAATCTGCCCGGGACGTGTTACAGTGTCCCCTCTGTCCGGAGACCTTCTTAACGAGGCGTGGTTTACAAGGCCACGTCCGGGTTGTGCATGAAAACCAGAGGAATTATCCGTGCACATTTTGTGACAAGAGATTCTCCCAGACATCCAACTTGAAGCGTCACGTGGAGGCGGTACATGCCACGTATGTATAAGGAGCTGGTCCATTCCTCCGACAAGTCCTTGTAGAAAAGCCGTTCGAAATATAATTTACCCACTCGCAGAATGCGGCGCAATGCAGGGGGCATAGATTTTATTTCTGTGGGAAGAAATTTTTCACTTATTTCAAATTGGTCGCACATTGTCGAGTTTATATGGGTTTACTTTAGAAAGTTAAAATACATATGTATTAATCTGTGTATGTACATAATAGAGATATGAATAATTTTCAAATTTTTATTAAATTTGCGACATTCCGCAAAACTTCGTTTTGTATAAACCCATGCAATTTTAGTTTCAAATTTATTTAATAATCCGACATACTTATTTATTTCTGTGTAATTTTTAACAAATTGTGCTGTTCTGAGAGAGAAAAAAGTATGGAAGTACATACGTTGTTGTGAGTACGAGTACGCTTAAACGGGCACCCACAATTTTATAAATACTACCTAATTCAACGGTTAACTAATTATTTTAACTAATAAACAGCCTGTTGTAAGATGATAAGTGCTTGATAGATAAATTTTGTTCCACCAATTGAGAGTATTTTTAATACTTGCATAAACGCACTGTCTTGGCTGAAAGTAATTTTGAAAATTCAGATGAAACTGGCACATTAAGAAAAATGTCATACATACTCCTGTTTTATTTACCATACGATCCTCGGCGTCATCACTCTCAGTACTAATAGCATTGCAGTGGTGATGGTGACGTCGAGGGTCGTATGGTAAATAAACTGACTGTACCTACCTATTTTTTGAAAAATCAAAATTAGAGTAAAATAGTGTTAAGCTGGAAATTTAATTTTGTTCAAAGGATTTCCCGAAATTTGGGATGATACGCATATTTTTGTGCAACTAATATTTTTGTTTATTATAAAATAAACAAACTTTTCTCGCAACTAATATTTATATACATATATACATACATATTTACGATAAACAACCGTCAACCTCATTAAAGTACATATATTCAAAGCATACTTACAAGATAAGACAAAATGAAACAGCTAACGCTATACTAAATAATTTTAAATAAATAATTTTAAATAATTTCATTTCATAAACTTGCTGTTCAACTGAACAAAGATATTGTACGATTTATTTTTAAACTGGAAGATGTGGGGTACACAGAGAATACGCGAACGCGGGAATTTGCAGTCAAGATGAGCAGTAAACCCAACAATCAACGTTGAACGTTAGTCAAGATAAATATTCCCCAGTTGACATTTCCCAGCAAAAACCACCCACCATTGCAGAAAAAAGACCCAGGATATTGACGTCGGAACATGGGTCCTAAAAGAATGCCAGGCGACGTGTGGGTGGAACGGGAGGGCAACGTCGTCAAACTTTTGCGATGTCGCACTGCCGAAGAATCAATTGGCGACGTCACGACGAGGCAAACCGTGATTTCTGCAATGGCTCGCGTTCATCGGGAGGTTATCGACGCGGAAAAATATATCAAACACCCGAGCAACTGTAAGCAGATGGAATTTTTGCTCTTGCCGTATCCAGATAACCTCTCCACGTACGACGACAACATGGAGGTGAAGTTGAAAATGGAAAACTGTGTCAGTATCGAAACACTTGTGAAGAATGTGGGACAGGTGAGTTTTGTGATATTTCGAAGACTGGAAAAATTTAGGAATTGATAGCAATTTTTCTTTTAACAAAGGTTATGAAGGGGAAATTTTTCCTTTGTCGCACCATAACGACGTCTAGCAGGATAATCGGAGTAGACGCCGGTGTGGAGGATCCTGAAGGAAAGAGGGCCATGCGACTTGGCCTATTTAATTATTCTCTGGATGCTAAAATGGGAAAGTCCGATTTCGAGGCGGTCCTCCCACTGGGGACGATGTTGATCGTGAAGAATCCCGTATTCAAAAAGTCTTTTGACAGCTCGCCCATCCACGGACTGATTGCTGATAATCCGGCTGATGTGGAGATACTCAGTCCAAAGAGGATGAAAGTGCTCTTTCCAGGTAAATTTGTGGATGCGATTTACTAATTAAATGCATTGGCCGTGGGGACATTAGGGGGAATTAACATTGTTGGATAGGGTTTGTATGATGCGTGCAAATGCAGGGGGATTTCAATAACCGTGGGGAGATTGCATGTCTTCTGTTCCCAAGCCTATGATAAGTTAAAATGTTTGTGGGCAGGTGTTAAATGGGAGTCAGATCTTCCCGAAGAATCTCGAGCCTTATTAAAATCGCACCCCTTTTGGGAGTTCTCTCCTGACCAATGTGACCTCGAGATTGCCACCAAGCTCAAGAACGTGGGAAACAAGGCCTTCATCGAGCACCGATCAACCGATGCGATCCGATTCTACGACGTTGCGCTGGAATACTTACCTGACGTGGAGGGAGAGATAACTCCAGCCGTTTCTACACTCTTGGTTGACATCTTGTCCAACAAGGCGGCCGCTCTGATTAAACTTGAGTGCTTTAATTCAGCCCTAATCTGCACGGGTAAAGCTCTTAGGATCAACAACGGACACGTCAAGGCGATCTTTCGTCACGCCAAGGCTCTCATTGGACTTGGCCGATACTCTGAGGGTGGCGAATTTCTGGATGAAAAGCTTTCCCAATATGCATCCCTTGGAGATGATATTCTTCGGTTGAGGTACGATTCAAAATCTAAGATTATACATTAGAGTATTATTTGTTTGTAATATTTGTTTTAGTTATTAAAAAGTTAAGTTTGATTTTAACGGATATATTATATAGATCCACCGTTCCAGAACTGTTGAAGCCACCCGGAAAGGAAATTATCCGTGCTTTGTTAAGCCTACGACCAACGGATTGCGGTTATCCTCAGAAGGATTTACCGGACGGGATGGTGGATCGCATTCCAGAATTTCGAGGACACGTTCAACTGGAGAAGAGTAAAATCTGCGACGGTGAAGGACTATTTGCCACTCAAGATCTCGAACTTGGAACAATTATCCTCTTTTGCAAACCCTTCGCCGGGCTGTATGTCAACCCGGAAGAAGAGAAGGCATTTAAACAGACCACACCTACCAACCAATACCTTATCGGCATTGTGGCAAACAAGATTTGGCTTGATCCTCAACTTGGCCGTGACGTTTATGCCCTCTGGGCTGGACCTAAGCTAAAAACATTGACGGACAATGAAGACCCTAAAATGAGAAAGGTGGACATTGTTCGAATTAGCAAGATTTGCCACTTTAACTTCACCGGGAACAACCTTGACGAAGATGTCACGGACTGCGAAGACTTCATTTCCTGCGGAGTTTGGATCCCCGTGTCCAAAATTAATCACAGCTGCATTGACGCCAACGTTATTTACTTTCATCACGATACCAGCCTTGTCATGATGGTCACTACTTTCAAAGAGGTGAAAAAGGGAGAGGAAATTCTGATGAGCTATATTAACCCATTCCTGCCATTGGAAAGGAGAAATTTTATGAGCCATGGTGAGTAATGGGTTGCATTTCTAATAAAAAACGATTTCTTGCAGGTGTTTTTTTTTACCTAAACATTGGTAATTTCAAATTTGTGTTTATTATTTTAAGGCGCCTTTATCTGCAAATGTCGACTCTGCGAACTGGACCGATCTGAAAGTCCCGCTCTGATTGCGAAGAGAGACCAGCTTATCAAAAGTCTGGCCTACGACCCCGACACGAACTTGTACCCATTTCATCCCTGCCTGCTCGCCCAAGACCTTGAAACAATCGCCGAAGTGGAAAGTCTGCGTGCGGCGACGCCCGACCTGAATTTCGCCATGACATGTTCTGGAATTCTTACCATTGCTGCCGTCGTGTTGCTCGCCCAATGTCGTTACGTCGAGTGTTTGTCCATCTTGGAGAAAATGTACGCCGTGATCGAGAACGTCCCGACCAATTGTGTGCATCGTGCATATGCTGAAAGAATTTTAGTTTGTTGCATGCGAATGGGCAAGAAGAAGGCCGTGTTGGAAAAATGGACGGAAGAAGTGAGGAAATATTGTCGTCTTTATGCCGGCACTTTGGATTATGTTCGAGTTGGAAAGTATCCCACAATTCCGGAAGACTTGAAAAAATTCGGGATTGAATTTTTTAATGACAATGATTAATTACTTTTGACTTGTGTTTTTTGGCTACATACTTTTAAATTTCCGATTATTTTTATGATATGAGTTAATTTTATGTTGAATTTTTGTCGTTGATTTTCTCCTGAACGATACTGCTTTGACTTGATGAATTTGATAAATAAATAGTTACAATTAGTATGAGGATGAGCGACAAAGAATTTTACGTTTTATTTCAAACTGGAATGAGTCAAAGTAGAGCGCAAAACATTTACATGCATGCCTATCAACTTACGCACGATATCATTGGAGCCTTAGACCCCATCGATGGGGTCCGTGTTACATAATTTATGAACATTCCCTTAATAAAACTCTCAAACTCCCAATGTATTGATTAGTACTTGAATTGAACATCACATTTTTCCCTTGAAGAAGTCAGAAGACTTTGGTGCTGATAATTTTGCCAACGTTATTTTTGAATTGAGAATATTTCCAAAATATTAAATAGCTAAAATATTTCATTACAACTGTGAGATACAAACAAGTCTCACACTTCCCCTCAAAAAGTGAGGCGAGTTCATTTGTTAACGTCAACTGTTTACTCGCCACAGATGGGCCAACTTTTAATTTCTGAACAACTAAATTAATAAATTTAAATAATTTAAGTATAATAACTTCCTCCAATTAATTAAATCATCAAGACTATTATTTGAGTCTAAATTACTAAAAGGTGAGATCATTTGATCAATTATGATATCATGTATCTGGTGAACGTCTATCTGATTTATCACGCTTAAAAAATTCTCACAAACTACAAACTAACGATAAATTTTTAATTACAATTTTTAATCCCTATAAATAAATTCATATTAAATTCGTTTGTTTTTGTTCAAAACTTGAAAGACGATTTTCACAATGAAAAAAATATTAATTATCTCAAATTTCGCAGGGCGACACGATGCAGGTTGAAAGTGACTTATCGACCCAAGAAATGGACGAGGATGTTGTCACCAGTGCTACAATGAATCCTTTGGTAAAAACAAATTATATATATTGAATCATTTTTCAAACTTCAAAGGAAACTTGCAGAATAAAAAATGTTACTGGCAGAATAAAAAAAATGTTAATTTCTTCCCAAATTTTGCAGGGCGACATGGCGCAGGTTGAGAGTTATGACTTACAAATTGACGAAACGAATGTCGCCACCAGTGCACTAATGAATCCTTTGGTAAAGAAATAAAAGTTGTTCTTATTAAAGTAAACTGTGTTTTTCTTAATTAAACTTATCCCTCTCTTCTGCAGTTGTTAAATTTGATTTTCTCCTACTTGGACGCCCCCACCCTGAAGGCCTCGGTGCGACCGGTTTGCACCCTGTGGGCCGATCTAGGCGCTCCCTTCCTCGGGAAAAAGACCACGCTGACGTTCTCGGAACTCATGACATGCGATATGGAGACCCCCAAAGCATTCGGACTGGCCACATTTCACCCAAAATTGGCCAAGAACGTCAAACTCGTCTCGTCCAAGTGTCCCTGCGAATCGCCGGAACGCCTCCCACGAAAATTTACCGCTGCCCGGCCTAAAATTGCGCGCTACTTGGAAGAACTTGAGGTCAAGATCTACTCCTCATTTTTACCCGGGCTGCACAAATTGTGGAGATCAAAATCACATCTTTTCGAAAACCTAACAAAAATTTCCATCACCGTTTTGCTCTCATCTGACGAAAATCAGGGCACGATTCTGACCGCGTCTTATCCAACGATGGCAAACGTTAGAGTGATTTTGATAAAAATGACCAACCAGTACGAAACCGAGCAGGATGAGATGGCAGCCTCCATATGTCAAAAGCTGCTCAATTCTACCCCCAACTTGACCGAGATGGAGGTGGAGGCTAGTTTTTATCTGGATTTCGCCCCCTCCAAGAAACTCTCCAAGCTTACTTATGCGTTTGTCCAATTTTTCGACTGGGACACTGAGGAGCCCCCCGGGGTCATGGAGATTGGCAAAATGGCCAAAATGTTGGAGTCCTGTCGGGAATCTTTGACCGAGTTGAGTCTCTCCCATGTGGGTGAGAAAATTGACGACGAGGAGGACGACGACATGCCGCAGCCGCAGGTAGGGAGAAGTTCTGTCAGAAAGCCTGGATTTTATTTACGAAAAAAAACAGGAGAAAAACAGTTACTTTATTTTTGACGGGTTTTGTACAATTTCGTTAGATAACGAATTTCGATGACGTTCAAATTCCCGATATCGGGAATTTGAACGTCACCGACATCACTCTTAAAAATAATGTTACCATTTTGAAAAGTAAATCTAGTCTGAATTTTATATTCAGTGAACTATACTAAATCCCCAGAGTGGCGTTAACTGGATAAAGAGTAAAGCTTACTCTAGATTTAGTAAAGTTTACTTAATTAATATAAAATTCAGAGTGTATTTATTTTTAAGCAAATGGGTATTTTTTAAAAGGGGTTCCCTTCAAATGTTACAACTCCATTTTTTTAGTTTTGTGAATTAGCAATTTCTTGCAAATTTAAAGATAATCTTAATCTCATTTTGCTTCAAGATAATTTTAATTTCTCTTGTTTTCAGACTTTATCTCTCCCTTCATTCACTAGTTTGACCCGGCTGTCAATCTCTTCCATGGAAGTTTACCGCTTGGGTGATTGTCTGTCCGCGACGCACCTCCCGAATCTGACCCATGTCAGCCTTGCCGGCTGTGTTCAGCTAGATTTCACCCTGTCCGACATTTTTGCTAATTTGCTGCAACCTCACGTCGGAATTACGTCGCTCGACCTGGATGCCGTGTATGACGGGGATGAACACTATGTCGACATTGGCACCGAGATCATCCGTGTTTTCCCCGCCGTGAAAATGTTACAGTTAAAGCTAACCATTTCAGTACACCTGTTGGTTGAAAACTACGACGACATCCGCCTCTTGAAGAAAACCCTGCGAAACTTTGCGCCTTGGGAGCTAACCTCGGCGGTAGTGCAGATACACAAGGTGCGCAGTTCGGGTGTCGTGTTGGGCACGATGCAAGGTTTGAGGCGATGGAAAGGTAAATACTATCCTCTTTCTTAGACGTGTCACCTCATTTGCATAATCTCACTATGGCCATTTTCGGCGATATGGGGTTTCCATGTTGAATAAACTCTCGCGATTGTGCCAAAATATGCAAATGAGGTGACTAGCACAAATAATTCAACTAATTGTACATAAGTGTTGTGATTAAGTCACTCTTCAAAATAATGTTTCACCCTTTTGAAAAGTAAATGCACTGTGAATCCTATATTAATTAAACTATACTAAACCCAGAATAAATTTAACTTGATAGAGAGGTAAGTTTACTGAGGATTTCGAATAATTTATAAAATTCAGAGTGCATTGACTTTTCAAAAAGGTAACATATTGTTAGGAGTGATTAGAAATTATTAAATTATAGATCGATTGCTAATTTTGCTTAGGTTTGGCACATACCGAGGTTCGACTTTACGCAGATAAGCAACCTTTTGTCCTGGGTGAAATCCTTAAAGAGGTTCTTTTGGCGTGCAGGGAGATCAAGCTGTTGAAAATGTTGGGATTTTTGGTAAGCTTACATAATTAATTTGGCGTTTGAATTTTGTGAGGAGTTTGCTGATTTTTGGTTCAAATATATTTACATAGATGAAGAACAGGGATGAATATGAATTTCAAGAATTTATTGAAGAGAACAGTCTACCGATTACTTTTTCGGAGTAAATTTGTGACAAGATGGGACTCCTGTTGTTAATTACTTAAATATACATACAAGCTTTATGAATTTTTGTTAAGTGACGAATGCAATTCTTTGATACGTAAAAAAAACATGTAAAAAATACGCCAAATCTTTAAATAAAATTGTATCTTCGTTTATAACTGTAGCCACCTAACGTACCGCAGTCCAGCCAACAAAAATATGGTCATGGTTTTCATTTCTGGATATCTCATCTTACGAGACATTAACTCATTCGTCTTATAATTATGAATCAGTTTTATTAAATATTTCAAAATCGTGCGAACACCAAGTGCAAAGTGTAATTGACCGGTACATACATAATTAATTATAGCCAAGAAATGATATCATCACAGCAAAAATAAAATACCGACTCTGAGTTAAATTCTAACATGGAGTTGAATAAAAGAATTACAAATCGATAAAAGCTTTACAAGCACGTGTGTCGGTACATACATAAAATTAATTTAACTTCAGTCATCATCAATCCACAACTTTATCCACAACCCATAATTAAAAGATTCCAGACTCAAAATTTCTTAGTAGACATCTCTGCGGTTTTCGAGGATAATACTTGATTTATTGAAAAATTGTTAGCTTTCAGTGACCCACAGTCATCTTCATCAGGCATGTACAAAGATTTTGGAAATCACAATCATTGCTTATTTTTAAAAATATGATAATCTGTTATACATTTTGCTACTTGGTTACTGGACGTAATTTATAAAAAATTTAATAGTGTTGCGCACCATATCGGGTTGATGTTAATGCCTTTGGAAACGTTCATTTTGTTGTCCATTTTCTGTATGTAGAGGGATTCTTTAAATTTGCGAAAGAATTTCCGGTGTTCAGGAACTATGAGACGGAAGGATGTTGTGTCTAATTCGTGATTGTTTTCCAGCATGTGTAGTGCAACAGGAGAAGTTATACTGGCTCTTCTAATATCGTTTTGGTGTTCATTAATTCTTATCAAAAAGTCTCGTTCGGTCTCACCAATGTACACATCTGGACAAGAGTTGCATTTGATTTGGTACACTCCAGCTCTTGGTCTGTTCAGCTTCTGCTTAGCATTACATAAAATTGAACCCAGTTTCGGTCCGGGATAATATCCTATTTCCACGTCCATAGTTTTTCGTAAGTAGGATGCAATTTTTGACGTTGCATCTCCAGCCCACGGAAGAATGATCCTTTTCTGTATGTCAACCGTTTTTTCCCGTTGATCTTGTTGACATTTTATCCGCACCCTGGTCAGACGGTTATTAATAAGAGATGAAGGATAATCATTTTTCTCTAGTATGATTTTGGTAAGTTTGATTTCATCATCAAGGTGTTCCACGTCTGAAAGTCGGATGGCTCTGGTAAGTAGTGTGTCGATGACACCAATCTTGTGAGCACGAGGGTGGAATGACCGGAAATTGAGATATTGGGATGTTTGAGTTGGTTTTCTGTAAATGTAATGGCCTAAAGAAAAGTCATTTTTAGGATAAATTAAAATGTCAAGGAATGGTATTCTTTCATCAATTTCTTCCTCCATTGTGAAATGGATGGATGGATGAAAATTGTTGATCATTTGTAATATTTGGTCTTTTCTCCTTCGTCTGATTATACACAATATGTCATCCACAAAGCGTCTCCAAAAGTAGATGTGGGGGTTGCTTCTGATAAGTGTTAATTCCAGTTTTTGAAGGAAAAACTCTGCCATCACGGGGGAAAGAGGAGACCCCATCGCTGTCCCATGGTTTTGTTTGTAATATTTCTCTTCTAATTGGAAATATGAAGCGGATGTACATAATCTTAGGAGTGATATGATATCTTCCACGGACAGTTTTGTTAATTCCGCGAGTTGTGGATATGATTCCAATCTTTCTTTGATGTAATCTATAGTCTCTGGTATTGGGACCATTGTGAAGAGAGAGGTAACATCGAAAGAAACTTTGATGTCACCTGGTCTTGATTTTAATTTCTTTAGATCCTTGACGAGTTCAGTAGAGTTTTTGATTGAGAATTCATGTTTTGAGGCGACTGGAGTTAGAATATTTGCTAAATATTTGGACAATTTATATGTTGGAGAGCATCTGTAATCCACAATTGGTCTTAACGGGATGTTGCACTTGTGGATTTTGGGAGCACCATAAATTATTGGAGCTCGAGGATTCTTTTCTATTAATTGTGGTAAAATATTTTCGGGCAGGATCTCATTTTCTTTCAAGATTTGACACTTTTCTGCAACGTTTTTCGCATGAAGTGGGGTTGGGTCATGGTTTAGCATGGTGTATGGACCAGACATGATCATTGCAGCCATTTTTTCTCTATACGTTTCTCTGTCCATGATGACCACGCAATTTCCTTTGTCCGCTTTAGTAATACATATTGTCGTGTCTTGAAGTAAGGATCTGATTGAATTATTTATCCAATTTTCCCACTTTGTTGGATTTGTTCTTGTTTAATGTGTTTGGCCATTATTCTTGCTACTCCGGTTCTGATTTTGTTTTTGTCATTATCTGTCAGTTCCATATCCATCATTCGAAGTTCCAGGGTCGCTGCAGTGTCAATCATAGTGTTTCCAACATTTTTTATGGGAAGAGAAAAGTTCAGTCCTAGGTTGAGTAATTTTTCTTCCAATGCAGAAAGAGGCCGGGATGACAAGTTTTTAATTGTTGGTTTCTGGAGTAAATCTTTATTATTTTGATATGCTGTGGCACAGACATTTTCGGCTCTTTTCTCCATAAGTCTATTGAACTTATTTTTCTGCGTGCTGGAAATTTTCAGATGAAGGGAGTTTCTCATATTGTTCATTAAGTTGCATAGCCAGTTCCATAATGTAGGGATTGACTCTCGAATGGTTGTTCTTAATTTCTTCATTTCTGATTGAATTTTATTTTGCTTGGTGTAGTTTACATTGATAAGACAGTTTAATAAGTTTGACTCAGTTCGTTTTTGAAAACTTTGGATCTTATCATGAGGTCCGAATCTTATGGAGAAATCTTTGAGTAGTAGTCCGGTTGGGATAATGTCATATTTTTTGCAACGTCGTAGAAAAATAGTGTTGTTTGTTAAATGGACTTCTTGTTTGTAGAGTGACTCCAATTTCTTGATCTTTCCAATGACTTCTTCACTTGCTTCACCGCGAAGCCTTCTAAGTATATTGTAGAATTTGTTCCATCCTCCGACATAATTATTAGTAGACATCTCTGCGGTTTTCGAGGATAATACTTGATTTATTGAAAAATTGCTAGCTTTCAGTGACCCACAGTCATCTTCATCAGGCATGTACAAAGATTTTGGAAATCACAATCATTGCTTATTTTTAAAAATATGATAATCTGTTATACATTTTGCTACTTGGTTACTGGACGTAATTTATAAAAAATTTCAAAATTTCAAAATTTCAGAAATCAAAATTTCTTTTAAAAATTCACTTCAATAATCAATACAAATATACTTTTCATACTGATCAGGTTCCCTAACAAACATTTCCACCGCCATAGCATAGGTGGACTGTGGATGAAAAATATTACAATAAATGTCGTACGCTTCTTTGATAAATTTATGCGCGAGTGGAAGTGTCTTCTTCCGGTGGGAAGCGAGTCGCCAAGCCAGCCGCAAATATGTCGCCCTCGACAATCCACAAACTCCAGTCTTGTCCAGATCTGCCAACAACCTTTCGAGCTCTTTCACCATCGTGACAGTAGGAACAACTAGATACGTCGGCATTGGATAGAAGCCCAAACAGTCTTCTTTTCTGTACAGCGCCTCAATCGCTTTTCTCAGCGATATGATCAAATTGTCCATGTCGTCGTCACGACAGAAACAATCTGACGGACAGATAATGTTGAATTTGCTTTCCAAGACTCGACGACAATCGGAAAACGTCTTGAAGGTTCCGAGGCGGCGATTTCCGTACATCGTGTCAGGATCAATGATTGACCCGAGGGAGTCATTGTAGCCCAGAATGTTGATAGTTATTTCTTCATCGGGGTTAATACCCCGTTTCGAGTAGACTATCCTCACCTATTTGAATAAACTGATTAATTAAGTTCAATCAATTAATTGAGTTCAATTAATTCGCTAATTTTATACCCTCAAATCTAGCAAAATTTGCGTATTTGCGTTCCCATTACAGTTGTGACCTAAATGCTTCGAACGACCGACTGCCTTCATGATGGTGCATCTGTCCCTGATAATGTCGGCGGAAACGACGAGACCGTGTCCTTGGAAATAGTCCACCATAATGCGGCTAGTCGAGGGGATGAACCGTTTTGCAAAGACGCCCAGACCAAGGCTGACTCCTGATGAGGGGTCAAACTTCTCGCGAAGGACCCAGTCCAAGTCTTCCTCGCCATAGGACAATCCACACCATTTGGAATGACCTTGACTTCTGGTGGCTAAAATGGAAATCAGATTGGCAAATATTAAGGGGCGTTAACTAAACATAGTTCCAAATGTTGTAAATTATTGGCAGATAATTCTTTTAAGCACTAATTTATATACCATCCTTCTTCTCTATTTTCCAATCAATCGCTTGACACTCAGGACTGCAGTATGCCCGCCGACAGCATTTTCCACAGATTTTGACCGCCTTGAGGGGAACGAGGGTGTGGCAAGCTGCGCAGTGACGATCAATATCGGACGACAATACCAAATTAGGGATTGCTTCATCTGAAAGATGATAATTAAAAGAAGTTCGTTTCAGACAGTTATTTGTAAATTGCGTTTTATTAATTATGTACCTTGTCCAGCAGCCGGCAGTCGTTCGTCTGATACAGGGTTTGACGCCATCATGTTAAGTGTTTATTTATATATACTTTGTCGAAAATTGTGAGTTTGAATTTTTTCGAATATGTTAATTATGAATTATTTAAAAAGGGACAAAATGATGCAGCTGTCGTTTAAACAGACCGCTCTGTGCTCTCGGGTTAGGAGAGACCTTTTGCACACAACAACGCTTAAAGTTTTATTGTTTCTAGACTTCAGATAGTTTTTATTATTTCACAAAGAGAATGTGCCATGGATCAAATTAAATCAAATCAGCCTGTTTGGTACAAGTATTAGAAAAGCTTACACAAATTTAGCGTGAGTATCGAAATAGGCCATCAAAACCCAACTGCATGACCAATTAGAATTACATACAACCGAAGAGATATTTCATATCAGCGATCAAACCATAAATATTTTTCGTAAAGTTCCGGCTCCTCGATGAAAAGCTTAGCAGACATAGCATACAAAGATTTGGGATGAAAAATGGCTGAATAAATTTCGTATATATCCTTCACGAATTGTTGGCCTTGTTCGAGCGTCTTCCTCTGCTGGACAGCGAGTCGCCAAGCAAACCGTAAGTAGGTCGCCTTCCCCATTCCAGACATGCTAATTTTTTCCATTTTTCCCAACCATTTCAGCAAATCTTCCAGCATGACGTTGACAATCAACCGGCGTGGATTGCGGTTCAGCTCGATTTCTTTCTTCAACAGAGCAGCCATAGCTTTTCTATTTGCAATGATCAACTTGTCCATTTCGTCGTCACGACAGAAACAATCCGATGGACAGATGATGTTGAATCTGCTCTCCAAAATTCGTCGACAATCTGCAAAGTTCTCGAGGCAACCGTAAAATATGCCCGGCATCGTCTCATGCATGGTGTCTGGATCAACGTGATTTTGCAAATGATCCCCGTACCTCAGTAGATTGATTGTAATTTCTTCATCCGGATGAATATCTCGTCTTGAGTAGACAATCATCACCTATTTAATAAACCACAAAATGAAATATATTAATTAGCGAATTCCATTAAACTGTAAATTACAGTAGATCAATTTTACATTGAAATCGTCAAGACAGTCGTTGCTTGCGTTCGGATAGCAATTGTGAGCCACATGTTTCGAATGGCCGACTAACTCTTTGAGAGCGAAAGTGTCCTTGATAGGGTCACCGGAGGGGGTAAACTTTCGTCCTTGAAAATAGTCCACCATGATGCGAGTTGTCGAGGGGATGAATCGTTTTGCGAAGACGCCCAGACCAAGGCTGGCTCCGGGTCAAACTTCTCGCGAAGGACCCAGTCCAAGTCCTCCTCTCCATAGGACAGTCCACACCAATTGATGTGACCTTGACTCTTTGGAGCTAAAATGGAACAGAGATTTACGTAAAGATTAATGACGATTTTGACCAGCGAAATATAAGCTTGATTATAAAGATGTCGCAAATTGGTCGATATTTATATTATTATAAGTTTAAATCACTATATTAATTCTCACGCTTTCCATCATCCCCATTCTTGATCTTCCAATCAATTTTTTGACATTCACGACTGCAATATGCCCGTCGACCACATTTTCCACACTTTTTGACCTGATCAGAAGGGATGAGTATGGCGCAAGTGGCGCAGTGACGATCCATAGAATCAACTCCTCCTTTACTCTTATCACAATTTCCTGCAAAAAGAAGGATATAATTTCTAAACTTTTTTCGAAATACGGAATGCACATTTCGAAAACTGCTATAAAGAATATTAACGTGGGTCGTGGACGTACGCATACCTTTTCCAGCAGTTAGTTGTTCCTCAGGTACAAGCTTTGACTCCATTTGAAATTATTTTTCAATAATTTGTAACTTCATACAAAACAGTAGTTAAATTTTAAAAATATGGACAATATGGATTCAAAATGATGAAGTTGGAAGTGTGGAGTGTGGAGTGGTATTTATTTACCAAGCGCTTCAAGGACTTCGCTCTTTACACTTTGAAATGAGACGAGAATTCTGATGAAAATGTATGTATGTATGTATTTAGTAAAGCGTGGTTACTGCATTTTGATATTTTGATAATTACAAATATCTCGACATTTATTCATCATTCACATATTTAATTATTTATTACTTCAAAACTTGACCGCAGTATCCAACGCTACAGACATGATAAAAATTCTTCTGAATTTCCAAAAGCTAACACAAATTTTTTGCAAAAATCTTTCCGACAAATTTCTTGTCTCCTTTTTTACGCATGGCAGATAACATTCGAAATATTGACAAATATAACAAAACTTCCCAGTTTTCCATTAGAAGAATTTCCATTTCAATTCAACTTTTAATTATTTATAGAATCAATCCCACAAATTGATGAATGTATTTCTGACGTCGACTAAGGACAGTCAAACCCTTATCAAAGTTAATTAAGCTGTTTCTCATTTCCAAATTTAACTGTTTTTCTTGATTGCATTTTATTTATATCAAACAGCTGAATTTATTTGTCGTAAATTGTCTCAAGTTCATGCGGAATACAAGTATTTTTAGTATTGGCCTAATTTGGTCTCGACCCCAAACCATTAAATTAAGGTAGACTCGTTAAATCCAGTTTAAATACACTCAAAATACTCACTAAGGGACCGTCCATAAATTACGTCATGCGGGAGCGGGGTCCAAGGCGCCAATGATATCGTGCCTATGTGGCATATGTTAAAGGGTGGAGCTGGGGTCTAGAAATTCGTGATTTTTGCGTGACATAATTTATGGATGTTCCCTAACTAACCTTTCCGCACAAGACACCTTTTTTGTAGCTTAAGTTTAACTTAAGCTGCTTAACTCTATCCCAATCCCAGCTAAAGCCTAATTGATATTCCAGATGTAGTGTACCTGCATAATTAGCATATGTACATTTACATGTACATACATACATATCTTCATAAATCTCACTAATTCAGATCAAACTTATGCACATGCTTAGACTTGAAGGATAACGACGCCGATATCGTGTAAGTAATTATAGCTCCCACAAACGTCATTTCCGTCGACCTTTTACACTTGTACAAGTTATACCCTAAAATCCCCCCGTACACGGCAACTGAACGGAGCGAACGTAGCTTTCTTTTCAAGTATTTCTTATCACGACTACCCCTCAAGAAGCACCTCCACTTGGCCTGAAGTACGAGACACTCTTCATACAGATCCACCAACAAGGGCAACAATAATCTGACACATCCTCCAACAAAGAGAGCTGCACCCAGAAAACCGGGAAATACCGAATGCGGAATAAGTCCGTACATATTTAGGGAAATAAAGTTAAACAGGACGCTAAGCCACATCGTAGTAAACATTACGACCGCAACACTTGGAGTGAGATATTCGTCCGATATTTTAAAAATTAACTGCAAGCTGGCATAACCCCGAAGATATTTATCTACAATGACCCTATTTCTAGACGACATGTAGTAAACCCCAGTTTTACTAAGGGTCAAAATACACTCCAGCGCCATGTAAGCGGCCATCACGGGAAAGGAAATAATGATGCAAGACATGCGACAAAATTGATATGTAGGGATGATCAAGGTAAGTCGGAGAAAGAAAATGACAAATTTTGCAAGTAACGGGAATCTCCATCCTTTTGAGATGAAGAGGAAGTACAATTGACTATACGGGTTTAAGTTTGAGCTAATTATGGCGAAAAAGTAAATGCTGAAGGTCTGACTGTAAAGGACGATTATGATCAGGTTAAGCATAATCCCTTTCAAGTCGAAGAATGTGGTATGTTTTTGCTGGATAGTCCGGCCACCTGAAAGAAGATATTGAACTTAAAATGTGTTGGTGCTTATACAATAATATCTGCAAGAATTAGCTTTTTTGCTGATAAATTTCTTCCACGAGTGAAAGACATGCAAGAAAAGCACCATCCATATAATCAAGGAGTTACTAGGTGGCGCCTATTTCTCGCATTTCTTGCACCCTGAATTTGTTACAATTTCTCTATGTAGTAAATGTAGAAATTGTACAATTTCTTGTAGTACATACAGCACAAGAAATATGGAAAAGCTGGAAGAAATTACTTAAGCACTGTGTATGTCGTATCTTATGTAGATACAGAAAACTACCAATATTCCTATTTTTTTAGTAAATATTGAACTTACAAATTTTCTTTGTCAATGCAGACAAACAGTTGAACGCATGACATTTATGCCCCTGAAGGCGAAGAGAGTTTCTAGAACGAGGTCGAACATACCCCCTCCACTCCAACACAGTATTATGACAACCTTTGTTAATTCAAGGTGTGTAAATCCGTACAACTGCGAAATTAGGATTAATAGTAAGCTACCATTTAAAATGGTTAGAAAACCATAAACAGAAACCATCCAGGGAATAAGCTTTCTTGAGATTGGGGTGAAAACTAAAGTTTGCGTTTTCATATCCCATTCCAACGGATTTTTCCAAAAGATACCAAAATATCGGTAGAAACGATCCAACGAATTCCACATCAGTGAGGTAACAACCATTTCGAATTTTTAGGAAACTTTTAAATTAGTGTAGATGGTTTTGAAACGATCGTCTGAAAGGCAATAAACTCAAATATGGCAAATATGATTTCTAGTGAAAGCGAGCACGAAAATATGTCTTTGACCCATTTTTTGCAATTAGTAGAATGGATTTCTTCTGATTTTCAAGTTTAATTATCCTTCTTTACTCGACTTGGTGAGGGTTATGAATCATAACTTATGATGAATAGCTAAGATTTTCGTAGCAAACCTGGGCTCAATTTGAGTGATTTGGTTTGCTTTACGGTTTTTGTTCACATCTGACGACCTTCTCGAATCGGCCATGGCCCTAAATTTTGAAGATATGAAGTCTGAGATACATATGAGCTATCTTTCGCACCCACTAAAATAAAAATATGGGTCAGAATGACCCTCCTTCATGGCCAAGCTACGTAATACGTAGGTCATTTAATACGTCATAATGACGTATTAAATGACCTTCCCTCGTATATGTATCTAATTGCGTCTACCAGATTTTGAACAGTACACTGATTCACCTTCATTTCCACAAATTAAAAATATTAAACTTATTTAAACTAATAATTTTAACTTAACTTTGATACATAGCATATCACATATCCACAGTCTGATAAGCTTGCACTTTCTCCTTTTAATACCGTAATGAACTTATCGATCCTATTGTCAATGAAGATCAGTGTTCAGTACAAACAATTTATGCAGAAGTTGTGTGGTTCCTTCATTTTTTACTTAATAAATATTTGAGTATTTGGCTTATTTTGTTTAATACTTTGACTATTTTTGTTTTAAAATGCATTATTAAAAGGGAATTCATACATGCACATGTCCATACATATGTATGTATGTACGCATAGATAAATACATGATAACACTCGATAACCCACTCTACGCAAAATTTATGGATGGTGTGCATGTTTGATCAAGACAAAGCTCATTAATAATAATGACATGAAACTCGGGGTTCCGTTGTATGATCGAAATGAAATATGCTATATTTAAAATAAATACTTAGCTTGAGTTTCTTATTTCCAGGTACAAACATATTCTTCGCTACTTTTGCATTAGACATGTAGAATTGCTAAGGACAAGCATTTCTATCCTTGTATGTGTATTGTGTATTGAACGTGTTCCTACAAAAAGTCCAAGCTCCAACCATGACATCGTTATACTTCCCCATAATTTTAATTACTTGCATTTCGAACTCATGTTTTTCAAAGAGCACTAATAATTTTGATAATACTTATTTCTTAAATATTCTCAACTTCTTCGATCATACTAACTTTCACTTCGTTCTACATCCTCCACAAAATCAACTTAGCTCTCCATCTGACCAGTATTTTCATAAATTACGAGTTGCTAATCAATACACACCTTTAACCAGAAATATACCATCTTGCAACTTCACCCTTACCGTGACAAGACTTGAAAAATGGGCAAGAATCAAGGCGACATTTCTTGACCTCACGACTCATCATTCATCAGACGATCATCAACTAATGACTTCCTTACTGTGTACCAGCCCGGACTATTTATTCGTTCATTTCGACGGGTCTATGAAGCCAGATTACTACAGAAACTATACGAGATGGACAACCTCTGCAAAATTGATATTTTTCAGCAATTTTCACTCCGTTTTTATTCCACGTGTCGTAGGTGACCTAATTGTTGAAGATGTCACAAGCTCGCTCGGATCGCTAACCGCTATCGGTACAGTTTGGGACTCTCTTAATACAAAAAATTTCCACGGAGCCATCCTGCTTACATCTCGGCCAACGAATAATAACGAATCTTGTGGATACAGTTTGTCACACTTTCACGAAAAAGACTCCCCTAACACGTGCATCTTATTGGTGTCCGGGACAAAATATAATTTCACATATTTGCACTACCTACGAACAAATGAATGGCGAAATAACGACAGTTTTTTGGTCGGCGTAGTCGGATTTATTGCAAGCGGAGAAGTCCTCGTTGATAACGTGGTTCAACTAGTTTTTCTAAAAATAGTTAAAATATATGACTGCGAAATTCATAACGTCGAATTTATAATTGTTTCACAGTTTCCCATTGCAGAAAACAGTATTTGGGGCGTTTTCACCCCATATGAAACTTCCATCTGGGTAGGTCTGCTCCTTTCTTGTGTGAGTATCAGCCTCGTGCTGCAGTTTGACTTCAACAGTAAAATTACACTACAAATAATATTTGTAATTAAGACAGTCAGAACCTATTTTCTCGTCCAATCCATCCTTTTTGGACAATCTATTGCGGATAAGATTATTGCAAATTTTCGAAACAAACACGTCGCCCGACCGCTTTTAGCCATTTGGTTTTTTGCCTGTTACATCATCATGGACAATTTATACCAGGGGAGCATCTACTCGGATTTAACGGTCACACATCCCCCCAAAGTTCCTGTAACGTTTGAGACGCTGATTTACGCTAACTTGACGATTATAACCACCACGCAAGTAATGATACCTTCACCTTATGGTAATTACATGGGGTACTATTCCCTCGTGAAAAGCGACATAATTCCTGATATTATTCAAACTATTCCGTCCAAGGCATACGTCAGATTTATGAAATATGCGAATAGTAAAATAGTTTATATTCCTGGCACAGAAACTGACATTTCCCTGGTGAAAAATATCTCGAATTCCAACCCAATTTGGTTACAACAACAAGACTCCAGTGTAAAACTTATCTCGACTGAGAAGGACTTTGCAATTATAGAAATGCCAGAGTTATTGAATTCTTACCGTGAATCCCTTAGCATTCTGGGGAAGCGGTTAGTCATTAGAAATTTTAATGCTGATGCGGCACTCCGATTCAGCAGCGTTACTGCAGGAGTTGCCATACTTTTGTGGGAGAAGATTAACTTATCGATGAGATATTTATCGCAGGCCGGGATTAGGCAGAAGTGGGATAAGATGCACGGCATGAGGGCAACGTTACAGTTTGTGGGAAAATTTGGAAAGGCAATTTATAAGCAGTATTTGTTAAAATTAAATTCAGATTTTCAAGAGTCGATGCTATTTAGTTCGGTAAATTTGAGTAATGATGACAAGTCGTTAGGTGCGTTGTGGTATGTTTTAGCTTTGTGTGCAGTTGTAATTGCGGTGGCTGTAGTTCTTCTTATGTGGGAAATTTTGTGGTATTGGGTAAAGTTTAATATAAAGTTAAATCATACTTTCCCACTTCAAAAGTCTGAGCATGGTGTAAAGGCTGTCCGGCGAGGACAGGGTGTCGTGCCTACCACCCCCACCCCCACAATGCAGGAGAAAATTGTAAATTTGTAGAATGTCACTTATTTGTCATTCCTATGTAAATTCCGTTTCACCTTACATGGTGTTACACTGTTACCGCCACAGGCAAGGAACATGAGATTCCCATGTTATTTTCGTGTGGCGGTAATACCATGTAAGGTGAAACGGAGTTTAGCTTCTTAAATTCTTACTATATACATACAAGCATAAATCCAAGTCAAGATGACTGCCCATAAAGGTCATTGATCAACTTATTGTGTACATCCTTACATCATTTTTAACTAAATTACAGTCGGTGGTGGGCAAATTGAAACCAACAGTCATCACCGACACAAAATGTTACCTAAGTATGCAATACGTATTTAAATGCTAATACATACATATATGTCGCAGCATATTTTAAAGATTTAATTGCGTAAATTCGCAAAATATTCAAGTGGTTTCGCAGACTATTAAATATATTGATTAATTATTCCCTGAATTCATCTCCAGATTTTAGTTTGTGAAGTTGGTTATGAAACCATTCACGATGCACTAAATAACCTGCATATAAATTCGTATATTATAATGATGATAAGTCATGCGATTATATTGATATTAAAATTCTTACATATTTGCAGTAAATACATGTCTGCATCATTGTACCATCTTGCACTTTTGATGATTCACAGAATATTTAGAGTTCTATCTAATTATCATAATTCGGATAAATTGTAATTCACTGGTTGTTTGACATATCCTTTTAAATAGAAACAGTTGTTTGCATAATCTATTGTATTAAATTTTGTAATAAAAAGCGCCTGGTTGAATCAGTTTCAACCGAATTTATACCACACCTTACAAGGGTCAAGACAAACTTTTTCAAGGTAAGTTAAAAATTTCAAGTAAATTTAGACAAGTTTCTGACAACTGCTTAATTTGTAAATTTCTACAAGAAATAATTCCATTTTTGGAATTAGTTCACAAAAATGTGAAGTCCTTTTGTACTAAAGATTCTAATAAACTGAGTTATCTACCGATTATAGAATTTCGCAGTTTACAAAGTTCAAAACTGGTAAAAACTATAAATGCGGTAACAATGATCATGCAAATATAATTGCAGGAACAAATCATGAAAACCAGCTTGATTTTTGGAATTTTTCTAATTTTTTCCATTCTTGCAACGATGGATGGCGCTCCACAGGGTGATTGTTCCTGCACCCTTCGCTGCGCGGCTTACCACGCGGAAAGGATTCAGTGTCTGTTAGACCAAAACCCACTTTGCTATATTGACACACTCCCGTCCGATTGCGAATGCAACAGATTTGCCGGATAATTTCTAGAGAGATCTAGAGAGATTTCTAGAGAGATTTCACAAGTTTATAATTTTGGCCCTGTAATTTTATCTATGAAATGCATGAATCAGAGCAACTAAACTTCATTAAAACTTTTTTATTTGTCCTTAGTTGTTACAGCTTATTTATATATCCATAATATGTCCGTAAACAATAATTCTCCCTATCATATTTTCCCAAATTAAAAAATATATGTACACCTAACTCAAAACCACATGTATGGAATGGTCATATGTGTCTATGTAAAAACCTTCGTCAGACAATGGTCATGATTACATAAATTGTTTCCAGCCTGTCCAATTTTTCTTTTACATTTTTCCCACAACTCCACAATGGGGATACATACATACCTGTCTACATTCACGAATTATATGTACAACAAGGAAATGCACTTGCCATTATTGTTATTAAAATACACCACCTAAAATCTCATTCTATTCATCACTGTAAAAAAAATTCTGGTCACAACTCTGTCTGGAGGTGGAAGAGAAATAACTATGGCTCCCCATATTGCCTGGATTTTCTTCATTGTCACCCTCACCGCATTTACTTCCGGCTGTGGTGGGACATCTTTGGAGGAAGTGATTCTACAACAGGTCTCAGTTTCTAGGGACGCCGTGCCCACTTTTCGGAACGATTCGCTCCTCGTCCAGCACAAAGACAAGACGAATCTCCACAGCACGTACAGATTTAAGGGGGACGAGGATGGGATTCCTGCCTACGAGCGAAGTGGGGACGACGCCGGGAAAGATGCCATTCTTTTAACGGGAGACGAGGACAAGCTCCCGTTCAAAAAGGGGAAGCGAATTTACGTTGTTTTGCGAAGAAATAAGGCGGGCGGGGCGGACTCGTATTACGGACAGGTGGCTATAATTCGGTGAGTGATTAGTTTTAAAAAATTCCATTATTTTATGAGACACAAATTTACATATTTTGAAATTTTATAACCTTAAAAAACGTGAGAATTTAGATTTACATTCGAACGTAAATTTTGTAAAGTTTTTCATTAATTAATGACAAATTTTCCTCCAGAGATGCCGCACCTCTGGACAAAACTACCTCAACAATCACGGACGCTTCCGGACTGTCCAAAAAGATCGTCGTAGAATGGACCACGTTCGACGAGCACTTCGTCCACGGGCGGCAGCCCTTTCAAAATTTGGCGATATCCTGCGCCTTTAGTGTCATATTGCCCTGCTTCATCAATACCACCAAGACGGAAAAGTACCCCATATTGCCCCCCTTCAGGGAGAAGGAACCTTCCAAAGTAGTGGTCGACGAGTTGGACAAGCTTCTCATAAAAACCAGTGATGGTTCCGATCCCAACGAAAATTACGATTTGTATCTCGACCTAGAAATTAATGCGGTTCTTGGAAGAGGTTTAGTTTCGGGGTGAGTTGATACAGAATTTTGAATTTAAGTAATTATGTACATGGCTGATAATGTTATCTCGTAGGGTAGCCGGCATTATTATGGATACCGCCAGCGCGTTGGTCTGCACGATAACTATGGTGGCCTGTGTGGCCGCGAAGGTTGCCTCCGGTGCGCTTAGTGTCGCGGGTACTGTTGTCGGTGCGGGAGTTTCTTATGTGGCGGATGCTTACTCTGCTACAACGCCAGCTCCAACGAAGAAACGAGGTAAAGTGAGACACGGAATTTAACACACTTTAAACGGACCTCGTAATTTCTGTGAAATCCCGTTCATACATAGAGGCCACTGAAAAAGTGGAAGATCCTCTCCGAAAATATCCCGGATGGAAGACACAATTTGCGGGTAGTAAAGTATCACCCGGAGTGTATTTTTCTCCAGAAATTATGACGGATGGTCCAATATTTTACGGATTTGGAAACTGTCCTGCTTCTGTTAAGATGGGAACAGGGAAAAACTTTTCTAGTTCATCTGAAGCCCTTGATTTCTACCAAAAAGTGCTGCGAACAGATTGTTTGTCACATATGAAACCACTCTTGGAATTAACTTTGACGACTGGAGTGGTGACCTGGGTCAATCCACACTTTGAGTTTAAGGAGGGACATGATTTTCTGTGAGTACTTAACCTACATACTTAAATTGCTGGGAAAATTTTGCTTGTAAACGTACCAAAGATTAGTAAAGACTAAAGGTTATGAGTAAGCGACGCACGTGGGGCGTGTCACAAACTTCGTGACAAAAATAATGCGCAAAATTTAGGAATTTGAATATTTCTCGTTCATTCGATAATGAAATGGGAGAATTATTTACGATATTCGTGCCATGAACTACATATCTAAATTTGATAGATATCGGTTCGTAAACCAGACACTATGATGCAATTGAAGTACATATTTGTACATGAATCCCAAAAGTAAAAATGGCAATTCGTTTTACAATTTTTGATGGTTTCCCAGTCAGCTACTTTTGTTCTTCTAGCAAGGTGAAATCGTCCTTGAAAGTGTGGAAAAAATAAAGATTTTAGAAATGAAAGAATGACCAATGAGCATCTTTCGCATTAGTGACACGCCCTTTAAGTATTTTAGCTGTATATATAAATGACTCGATTTGATACTTAACTTTATAAAATCCCCTCTCGTTAGGACGAAGCCCATCCTCCCCTTAAAAGATTTGTCCGTGCTCACCTCCGCCGCTGAACTCGTCGCGTTTACAACCGTTCACAAATCCGCGCTTCCACCGAGCTGGACACCGACCGCCTTTCTCCCCGCAAACGGAAAGAAACCAATCTCTCCCAGCGTCTCATTCCTGACTCAAGTCTGCTTGAAATACTTGGCCCTCGTGCGACAAAAAGTCCGCCCGCACATGATCCACTTAACTCGACATCTCCTCCACTTGACCAACTCGGCCTTGAAGAAGATTGCCGAGGATGGTCAGAATTTGGAGAAGTGTGTCGATCCGGGATGCGAAAAGGATAAGGAGGTCAATCAAAATGATAAGACCGCTTTAATGGGAATCGTCCAGTTCATTAAGAAAGGATTGGGACCGGTGGACAAGGGGAACGCCACCGAGGGCGAGGTGGTCACCTTGTTTGAATTATTTTTAACGGAAAATGATGAAGGGATTGACCAATTTGTGAAAGCATTTGTGTAAAAATTTAATAAGGTGTCGGTAATTAAAAAATAATAACTGAAATGGAACATATATATTTATTGCTTATTTGGATAAGTGTTTATTAAGGGTGTTGATCAAGCCAAGCGTCTGTATAAGGATACCAGACGCAATACACTAATACATATATATGGATAATTATTAATTAACCTATTAAAGTTTAACTATTAAATCATGTATGAGAATTACTTATTTACTACCTTACACTTACATATTATATAAATCACAATAAGTGAAAAATTGGCAATCACATCACATCATATTTATCTACACCTGCGACAATAACATTTACTCACAACAGCCACATTAGTTTCAAATTAAATCTTTAATACATACATATGTAAATGCAATGATTATTTACTTTGGCTCATTGATAGGAAATTTATGCTCTCGAATAAACGCTTTTAAATTGTCCTTCGTCTCTTCGTCCATCTGCAAAAATTAGCAAAATAAAAACTCGGATATTTTTACATTTTTCATGCCCCTTTCTTGTATGAAAAATGGATGTACCAAAAATCCAGTTATTGCCACGCTTTTAATCGTCCTGCACGACAGGAGGGCGGCTCGCATCTCCTCCAACATTTTAAATTCTGTGTGACGACATAGATGACCCGTAAACTGAAGTGACGCTATCGTCAAATCTACAAATTTACGTTCGTAAATATTTATTATTACGATAATTAATTGTGTGAAATGATAACCTGTCCATCTCCCCATTCCTTCCAATACAGCAATGATCAGTTGCGAACCAAACTCGTCACAGAGAAGTTCATTGGCAGCAAAACTATGTGATTCAATCTCAAAGTCGATCTGCGCGGATGTCAAATCCCAGTCGCCAAAAGATTGCATCATTGAGGTCAAGGCCTCACATTTTTGAGGAAGATTGAGGACAAATTCAGTCTTAAATTTTAATTTCAATTCCTTCACGCCAGAGAAATGAGTGACCAGGATTTGCCCAGCTTAGTGTTCGTCGTAATCTTGGGGAAGTGGGGAGCCAATAAAATCCAGCGACGTTATCCCAGCATGACGCACGTTGTGGTTTTGTAAAAGTTCGGAAATCTTGTATACGGAGGTCAGATTAATGAACGAGATGGAGAAATGCGTCAATTCTGGGAGATTAGTCACGTTCAGCAAGTCTTTAATGATCTCAATGTGGGTCGCATGCAGTTTGAGGTGCGTGAGACTCGGCAAGGGCAAGTTCAACTTAATATAAAATACAGAATGACATTTTTAATCCTGGATAAAAATCTTGAGAATTGTTTTTACCTGTCTGGGGTCTTCATTCCAAGTGAACTTTCCCAAGGTAAAACTTTGCAAAGAATTTTGGCAACTTTCCAACATATCTTCCATCTCAGAGACTTCATATTGCAAATCACGACTACTGGAAGCGCTCAAAATTTTCAGTTTTTCGCATGCCGTCAAGCTCAAGTAGATATTTTCGTCGAGATAGACTTCTTCCAGATCGGGGGCCGAGTTGGCCAGATTTTGGCAGATGGTTGTCATCAAGCCTTTCGCCAAAGGATTTCTACAGTAGGGCGAGATTTTCACGGAGCACATCTTCAGAGTTGGAAGGCGTCCAAATCGTGCAATCTCGAGCGGTGGTGGTTCCTTATCGAGTTGGGGTCCGTTGGCGACGATCGATATGTTTGTAAGGCGTGGGAAGGCATAATTGCTCCAAATTTCTTGTAGGGGTTTAAACGCCTTGATACCGTGGAATTCGAGACTCTCCAACTTGTTGTCAATGTGGGGCAAAATCTTAAAAAAGTTTGTGGGCAGTTTTGGAGAACTCTGGTCTCCATAAAACTCCAATGTTATGTTTTTGGCAAGTTTGTGGTCGAATGGGGCCAACTCTTCATGTTTTCCGCAGTTTGGCGGTTCCGAAAAGTTAATGTGACCAAGTCTCCCAAGATACGTTGCACCCACGGCATCCCACACCTTGCAGACGTGCCGAACTACCTTTAACGTCGTGATGTCCAAGGAGTGGAAGATTTTGTGAAGGATCTGAAATAATTTTTGTACAATTTTTGTACATGTCTTTTATTTTGCACGGATTATTCATGATGGAAAATTATGTATAGATAGTTTTAGTGGAAATTTCACATTGCGAAGAATTGGCCTGCCGTCTTGGCTTAGAGGCTTGACCATCAGTGTCATGACTCAAAAAGCCGAGAATTCGATTCCTCTTGAGTTGTATTATGCAGCAAAAATGTGGAACGAACTGGTATGGAAATACAAATTACTGTTCGGTGCCGGCAGATAATCTGCATAGGATTGTCTGGCCAAATCCTAAGATAGTTTGAATATCTCCTTATTTACATCCTATCCTGTTTCACCGTCCACCCCAATTTTCAATTTCAATAATTACCCCCTTTCCTCTACAGTACCTATCCTAGTAAACCTGACATGCCAGCCCTAACTATACCTTTCCTTGTAGTTGTTGATGTCAGTATCTATCCCTGTCTTGGTATTGGAAACGATGTGGCTCACATATCATATACCGCAGACGTTAAAGATTGAACAGAACAGAACAGAAGTTGTGTATTTATTAACTTTGCAATGTGAAAGTTTATTAATAATTAAATACCTCCCGATTAAGTAAAGCTTTCACCGTCACTTCCACTTGCATGTCTTCCACTTGCATGTCCACCTCCATTCGGATTAAATGCAGATTAAAAATTTATTGCTATTTATTTTATGATAATCCTCTCGTATTTACTAATTAAAACGTATTTAAAATATTATTTCAGCCAAGAACTTTAATAAAACTTTGGATATTTACCAACGTGTCTTGATATTACGAGGGTTAGGCAACAACAGAAATATTCATGCAAGGAGAACTGGACAAGTCAGCGTCCTTTCGAAAGGGGGTATCCAAACAGTCCAAACAGGGGGTATCCAAACAGTGTGGGTTATGCCTCAGTTTGTTCCTTGTCAGCATTTTTAATTTTCTCTAATCTTCATCATTATTGTTTAATTATTTTGGAAAATGCGGATTATGTATCAGGTAAAATCTCCTTTATCGTTGCTAAAAAATTGGAACGAGTGCTCTGCACGTTCCGTCACTTTTTACTTATTTTTAAGGCGGAATATGGAATCGAGTATAATGCTGAGAATAGAATTCTGAGTATCGATAAAGAAAAGGTTCTTAGATAAATACATACATACATGCGAGGTCCTCTTACATACATAATTCTGTATGTACATACGTGGATACATAGTAACTTTAATTGATAATTTACTTTAAGGGGTGAAACACCTTTATGGTTTTGCTGTATGTCTTTCCGTCTGCCACACCGAGTTCGATATTCGACTAATATGCTTACAAATTACACTAATATGCTTGTTGAGACGCCTACATATTACTTACCCGTTGCAACAAAATGGGCAAGAGGTATGTATGCATTTGCAAGAAAAAAAACAAAAATGTGACTGAAAATGGTGAAACTTTACACAAAAATAGGCGCATGTTTTACAGATATTCATGTACATGTCTGGAAGCAAATTGTAAATAAAATTTATACATTGCGACATCTAGTTACCGAATGGACCATGCGTCAAGGATGTGATCAATTTGATCGCGTCAAGAAATTCTACTCCTGATGAGCAAGTGTGACACCGAGTCGCAGAAATCGGTAACCCGGCCCCATATTTTCCGACGTCAATGTTAAGCGTGTGGGGACATGCTGACCGAGGGCAAAAAAATACACCCATCAAGCCCAAAAAGAGTTGACACTTTTTTGATATGATGAAAATAATTTGGATAATTTTCGTATGAATATTTCATCCTCAATTTCTCACATGAGTTTTGAAATTCGGACTGTTTATTCAACATTGAATGCCCGTATCGCCGAAAATGGGTAAATGTTTGTAGTGAAATTTATGTAAATGAGATGTCATATACATATATAAAAAATGTCCTCCATTTACGGACTTGATACGCATGTTCGAATTAATTAGATCCAAATGAGAAAACCGACGGTATGTAGACTAGGTTGACGAGGCCCAGGGGGTATCCTGTCTCCTTCTGTAAAACGGTTCGATTCAGCACCCAATATTTTTTTTTATTTTCAGAATTCATATTATTTCATATTTAAATTACTCCAGATCAGAGCTGGGAATCAATCCGGATTACCCAATGTTAAAGAATAGAGGGATTGGGGATTGGGATTGGCCATTTAAACACATTGACTAATCCGAATTGATTCCCAGCTCTGCTCCAGATATGTACAAACTGCATATGGGCTTTACAAGAAGTTGCAGCAACACATCGAAGTTACACATTATGCCGAAAAAAACATTGCATTTAGAACTATTTAAAACACTGTTTTCAGTAAAATATTTAATAGTGTTGGAGCTGGAAATCGAGTTAAGCAATTTTGAAAACGTTGTCCTATAGTAAATTTATGCAAATTCAACATTTTAGGAACGTTTTGTCCGTGTCTTACACAATGTGACCGAGTTAGCCGAAAAATTACGAGTAAAACTTGTAGTTTCGAATCCCCACTAATTAAATACTCCTCTGATTTGCTTGTGAACCACGCCTCCCGTAAAATGAATGGGTGCACCACTCGCTTCAAAAATGGGTTGAATTCGTTCCACGATTTCCGGTACCTGAATTATTAGAAAACTGGGGAACTTAGACACCAAATGTATGTTGAAAGTTATTTTACTCACCACCAGGCAGCACAAATAGTATATCATAAACTCCTCCCTGCATGGATCTTAGGGCTACTCAAAAAATAGATCCAAAATGTGAACATGCTCGATCAACTTGAAATTCAAAACTTAAGGGTTTACTGACCTTAAAAATTTAGTTAGACTATATTTTCATCGCCATGACCTTTTTTCGACACAATATGACATGACTGGCCAAAATTCATCATCAGTCGATCACCTAATTTTAGCCAGGCAGGTCATATGGTGTCGACAAAAAGATCATGACACTGAAAATAAAATTGAAATAAATTTTTAAGGTCACAAAACTCTTAAATTTTAAATTTTAAGTCGTTCGCCCAATTTTACCCAGTCAGATCATATGGTGTCGAAAAAAGGTCATGGCGATGAAAATGTAGTCTAAGTAAATTTTAAGGTCAGTAAACCTTTAAGTTTTGAATTTCAAGTCGATCGCCCATGGTCACATTTTGGATCCATTTTTTATCCAGGGAGGAGTTAATGATATACTATTTGTGCTGCCTGCTCACCACCCGTCCCGAGATTTCTACGCTCTTAAATCCTTCACTGTGCAAGATGAGATTTTGAATGTAGGGAGAAAAGTCATCCTCGGTCACGTAAACGTCCGAGAAATTGACAGTTTTAGCGCCTGAAATCATTTATTACGTAGGTAATATTGTCAATATGGGACCGTCAATAAATCATGGCACGCAAAAATCTCGAATTCTTAGACCCCCCTCCAGCCCTCACATAGACACGATATCATTGGAGCCATGGACCCCACCCCATCCTCCTCTCCTTTGACATAATTTATGGACGGTCCCTTAAAGTTATGGAAGTTTCGATAGTTAAAATAATTTTTTATGAGCTGACTTTATCACCTTCACATGCCGATATAGCTTCCAGGACTCGAATAAACGTGGAGGTCTGTCCCACGTTTTTCGCGAGAACGTTGCCCCGTTCCAAAGCCCACAGTCGGAACGGTCTCAAGATCCGGCTTAAAGCCGGAATGGAATTAAACTTCATAACGAAATCGAATTCCTTAACCGCCGGAAACAAGGGGATCATTATGCCACTGAATTCCATCTCCCTCTCCTCTCCGAACTCCACGGTCAACGAGAGAGACTGAACTCCTCTGTGGCGCCTCCAGTAAAAAAGATGGGTTATCAAGGGCGATTCCAGATGTCCGGAGTGGAAAGAGAGGGTTTTTAATTTTGGAAAGTGGTCCTCATCAAAAAAGCCATGAAATCGGTACGCGTCTATGGCATAGATGGAGAGCGTGGTTAGTTTTGACATGATGGGAAGCTCCTCAACAGTTATCTGTGATGCGGTACATACATACAAAAAATTCATTTAAAACAATTACAAAACTCATCAACAAAAAAGTCAGAAAGAATGTCAAGACTCGATCCAATCCGTTTTTTGAAGGACATGGTAAATTGTTGGGTCCTGGTGGGCCACGGATCTTTTTGCACTCGATTTGGGCTAAACTATTGCCTGGTATGAATAAAAAGTAGTAAATACTGCATAGTAACAAGTAAAAGCAAAAGCACCCAAAATTAGTAAAAGGTAAAGCTGGAAGCATTTACTTGACTTGGTATGAATAAAACTTTACTTTTACTACAAAGTAAATACTTGTACTTTTTAGCAAGTACTTTATTTTAGTACTTAATTTTATTGCATGGAAACCGAGTAAATTTTCGAAATAAAATTAAAATTTTCGAAATAAAATTAAAATTTTCGAAATAAAATTAAAATTTTCGAAATAAAATTAAAATTTTCGAAATAAAATTAAAATTTTTGAAATAAAGTGAACATTTATTGTATATGCAATTTACGCTAAATGTACGCTTAGGATGCATTCTTAAATTGCGTAACGCTAACGGGGAGGGAGAGGGTTTGGAAGTTCCATTACGGATGGAGAGGGGGGTTTGAGGCAATCGTTATAACTTTTTTGGTAGCCCCAAAATGCAATTTTCAAAAATTGCGTGGTTTTACACGATTTATTTGTGATTATGTGTTTTTTGCGTTCTTTGTTTCTTCTGCTGCTCCAGTTTTATTTAGTAAATACTTTAAAATGTATTATGGAATTTAAAATAAAATGTTTGATTATGAAGTTTTTTTGGAAAATTAAAATTTTCATTGTTACAAAGGGGAAGAGGGTTTTGCGAAAGCGTTACGCAAGCGTTACAACAGGGGTGGGAGATTCAAAGAATAACATTCTAGCGTTGCGTAATTTAATAATCTCCCATTAAGACCGGAACGATTATCGAAAATAACACAATACCACTCGTATTCAACGATTTTTTATCGCCCCCTTTAGGACTTTATTTTTTAATTTGACTGAAACCTCGAAAATCTTGTTCAGCATAACGAAATTAGTGGGTTTAGTGCAATTTTGGGTCTCAAATAATTTTCATGTGGCACAAATTGAGGAAAGTTTGTCAAAAAGGGGGGTTGACATCTCCCTTCGTCCTGTGTGATAAGCGGTTACAGAACGAATGTTTTTTAATAGAACAAGACGGTATTCTTTTAAAATAGAGTTGCGTAATCGCTGCAAATTTTCCATATCTTAAGCTTAATTTATGTTTTAATTTGCTCTAAGTTACATTACATTTAAAAAATTGCGATTGACCCCGATAGGTCAATATATAGCATTTTGGTTACACCAAAAAGCTCAAAATTAATAGGAGATTACATACTGTGCATAGCTTTGCAAAAAATCGTTAATAAAGAACTGGTAACATTTTGCCCCATTTTCTCTTTTGGACATTTGGGGCGTCCAAATTTCGGTGTCCAAAACTGCCTAAAAATTGGCAACTTGGTCATAATACTTTCGAAAATCAATTACAGTATAGAATTGTCAAAAAAACAATCTAAAAATTTAATGAAATGGCTTATAATTTAAAAAAAGTAAACCATGAAGCTCGGGGTATCGCAACTTCACACTTTACTTTGTTTTCGAAGCTTTTACTTGTGTTTATTCATACGAAGCCTGAGCATTTACTTTTTGGTAAGTAAAAGTCATGGAAATTTAAGTAAGTACTTTTGCTAAAAAGTAAAAGTATTTGCTAAATTTTTATTCATACTAAGGTGACCTTTTACTTGAATTTTGTGAAGTAAAAGCATTTACTACTTTTTATTCATAGCACCCATTGTCTTCCTGGCACACCTACTACCCATGTACGTCGAATAAAATAGTAACCCCACTGTGGTGTTCCACAGTTTTTTAACCAAAAATCTCAAAAGTTAATACATAAATAAATTTAAATAATCAAATAAATTGCCCCAAATTTAAAAATTTTGCTTCCCCTATGAGATGATGGATTTGGATTTTTCGTTAATGTTGTGTTCAGAGATTTACAACCGTTTTGGAAATATTGACCCAGAAGTCGTAAAAAAATTAAGATGTCGAAATTGTCGGTTTTTAGCCTACAAAAGTGGTTGGAGGTAACTTTTTTCAACTTTACGTAGTTTACTTATGATTACTCTATCATAACCTTCAAAATTAGAGTTGCATACAGTCAGGTGCAAATCTTTACAGCCACCCTGATTTTCGTTACCAATTCCGGTCGCGTCATCAAAAAATTACCAAATTTGGCTATTATGCGTAGAACACTATCCTTTATAACTATCATACACCATAGAGTCGAAATACGCTGCACACTATCTTTTCGTACTAAATTTAAAAATTATGGGGTGCAAAACTTTACAGCCACCTAGTTTCTATTGCAGAATTCCGCTTTGTTTTTTAGGTTGGGAAGGATTTTGATGAGTTTGCATTTTTAACTAGTTTAGAACAAGTTTTTAAGCCGATCGGCATGCAGTTTGGGATAACTTAATTTTTTCTCCGCATTTATTTCAACATTAGAAGGCAATTATGAGCATTTAATTATGAAGCTAACGGAATATCGGGTCTGAAGTCATCTGACATTCCCTCACACCCGATTTAGTAATAAATAGGTCAGAATTGCTATTTTAGACTAAATCCTCTAAAATTTGGTGAATGTCATGGTAATACAGTGGGGAATGGATGGGTTCGAAGGTGGAAGTACGTGGATGAATCTGGAAATTTACTGCATCAATCAACCAGAATGCCTCACGAATGCAAATTTCAACTGCCTCACTACAAGTAGGTTGCTGGAGATGTTTTGGAACTAACCCCTTCACTCAAAATCACGAAGGAAAGGAAACAAACCCTAATTAACCATTATAGACGACCTAACGATCTGGTGTGAGCTAATGGGCATATGGTTTCGTCCGCCCTGTCTTCTATGAAAATATGAAATACATCTGAATGGAAGCCTTCGATGGTCTCCTTCTATTTTACTCCCATTTCGGTGCGACCCGACTGGTTTTCAGTGGGACAGACCAGTCGTGGTTTATGTAAGGATTTGATTGTCGCCGGCAATATATACTACACGGAAGGTGAATGTTTCTCGTGGTACAATGGACCCGGAAAGTGGTAACAAAGTTTGCTAAGATCAAACTGTGGCTAACCAAGCCAGATTGGGCGAAGGAAACTCGTTTTGCAACAATATAATGCAATTTTATTTTTCGAAGAATGACGAAAAACCGTTCAATGACAATAAAACCCAGCCCCGGGGCAGTCTAGGAACGGCGCCAGACCTCAATTCAGCCCAAAAGCATTGAGGGGTATTGCTAAGAAAATATAAACACACGTTGAGCTCAACCGACGCTGAGAACCACATGAAACAAGAAATTTTTTGGTGTATGGCGACAGTGTGGAAAAATGTGTGCTGACTTCATGCTGAATTGAATCTGTAGAATTACCCTAACAGAACCTGAAGCCGTATTTCATGCGTTTTTTGTACGTTGACGCGTATTTAGTCCGTAAAATATTTTTCAAATAATTTTAGTTAGTTTTACTTGCATTAAACACAAGAGAAATCCTCAGCATTTTATGAACAAGTAATACGAAGGTAATAGAAGTGGTTTACGTCACAGTAAAACATGCGTATTCATGGCTGATAAAACTCATTTAATATATGTGTAAAATCCTTGCGTATTTATGCACCTCGTAATACATGCGTAAACAGCACTTTATTTTTTAGTGAGACAAAATAACTAAAGAGGGAATATTTGAAATAAGACGAGTGCGTGGTCCTTGCATTCACTATTAAAATGTTTTCCGTCGTAAACTTTAAGTTGGACCGTTCGGTGCAATTAGTGCCATCAAGCTGGATAAGTGCTGATAAGCGCCTTTGTTCTTGGCCACCTGGCCCAAGTAGTAACGTCACATCATTAATAAAGAGAGTTGAGAAGCCAAAAAAGTCCTGGCCAAAGTTGGATGTCACATGTTGGAAAACTGCAGGTAATTATACAAATTATATTATTTTTAATTTATTTATACTACTTTAAATTAAAATATTATAATTTTATTGTGCATCTAAAGATACATTTCTAGAAGGACGACAATTGGAAGATGCTGCCCGATTTACTGGTGACCTGGACACTTCTGACGCAGAGGGCGGGGAAGAAAATAATCCTCCCAAAATCCTACGATTATCTCTTATGACCGACGCCAACCAAGAACAAGGCGAGGAAGTGTCGCAAATTGGTGTTACAGACGACGGTTCAAGTAAGTTGAAAAATAGTTCACCTTGAGTCTAGCAGTTGTCATTTATCAATGTCAAGGTACAATGATTATCATTAGACGTCATATTAAGTCCCTGCTTAACATTTTCAGGTCTTGTAGCTGTGGGAGGAAATGTGTTCCGACTCCAGCTCTTTAATGGAGAGGAAATGACTACTGGAAGTCGCTCACAGATTGACCCGAATTCCGACAATCCATGTGGAACAGGAGGTGATCTGGTTGTCCAACCTGAAGGCGGTAACATTAGCCATGACGGACAACAGAATGACAACGCCGGGTCGTCGGGCTCAACCAGAATAATCCCAAATTTAGATGCCATTTGTATGAGACAGTTAGGTTAGTAAATCAGAATTCCTGTTTTTACACAAAATGGGTCGAAAATATTTTATCTTGATTTTTGTGGCAGCTTTAGAGGAAACGATTGCAAAAGAGTTATCATCAATTAAAGAGGATATTCGGACTATCTTGATTAAAATTTAGATATAGAAAATATATTATTGGCACAAAAATGGGAAATAACTGTTTTTTATTAAAAAATAATGACCTTGTTATTGTCAATAGAATATATAAGGAGAATTGCAAAGTTATGATTGAATGTAAAAAATTCACAACAAGAACTGCAGTTAATAATTATCCTATTAATACCTCTATTTTAAAAATATTTAATGTGTCATTAAGAAATATATCCAGGTGTACGAATAATGTAGAAAATATTTGTCAGAAATGTGTCCTAATTCCAGTAAAAAGTAATTCTATAGATGAGTATTTTTGTATTCCTATGTTGTGAATAATTAAAAACGTGGAATATTATTTAAATTTATGTCGTAACTCGTGTTCTTTATTAATGAAACGCATGTAAACCATGTAAATTAAGCATTCGTAAAACTGCCGTAATTGCCGCATAATTACGTTAGTTTTCAGGGTGCATAAAGGCTTCATAATACCTGTCCATATTACGCTCAATTTTAGCTTTCATAAACGCCCCGTAATACGTGCGCATATTAGGTGTGTATTTAGGTAGGGAAAATGCGAGTTTTGCATGCGTTTTTAGGATTCGCGTATTTAGTTTGTCCCGCTCTGCCAAACCATACTATGGAAAACGGATTCGTTTTCCAGACGGTTTACTAGAAAAATACTGATTTGGTTCTGTTAGGGTAACTCGAAGAATTGAAGTATAACGAAGTTCTTTATATCAAACCTACGTGTTGCAATCGGTCACAAACTGATAAATGTATTTAAAAGCCAAATTTTCCAGGTGGCCGTAAAGTTTTGCACCACCTGTTTTTTACATTTAGGAGGAAAAAAGTAGTGTGCGGTGTATTTCGACTTAATGGCTCCTGTCAAGTGTGTAGGATAGTGTTCCACACATTATAGCCAAATCTGGTAATTTATTGATGGCGCGATCAAAATTTATGACGATAGCGAGGGTGGCTGTAAAGATTTGCACCTGACTGTAGTACCTACACGAGGAGACGATTTGGTGGCAACTTTGCTGAGAGTATACCGTAAAAACTCAAATAGTAGCCGGGGGCTACTATTTACAAAATTGGTGTCTGGGACCCGGCTACTATTTGAGCAAGGCTACTATTTGGGCAGGGTCACTATTTATAAAATGACGGAAAGATGCACGGCTAATATTTGCACACAGCTATTAAATTTTGTTTCCAGAATCAAGCTCATATTAAATTTTAATAACAGCACCAATTTCTCCCCTAGAATCCCAGTCTATGACAATTCTATTGCTTAAACCTGCTTTTAATCAATTTCTTCGATGAGCCGAATTTCGTGTTCACTTCGATTTTTTGTATGTAACTGCGATTAAATTGAATTATAGTTGAATTACTTACATGACCTGGCTAGGAGATGTGTGGTTAAGTCGATGCACGGCTATAATTCGTATAAGGCTATTTGGGCAGGGCTACTATTTGGGCAGGGCCACTATTTGAGCAGGGCTACTATTTATAAAATTCTGAAAAAACGCAGGGCTACTATTTGAGCACGGCTACTATTTGAGTTTTTACGGTATTTCCAGGTTTGCATGTTAAACATGAATTTCATAACTGTAACAGTCCAAGTCAATGATAACGGTTAAAATTACATGCCGAAATATTAAATTAGTTTTTCTCTAATATATAATTATAGGAATTCTGGTTCAACCTGCCCTACAAAAACCCACAAAAACCCCAAAAATCCCGGAAAAACCCCCGGGGTTGTGATTTTCTACAAAAACCTCTGGGTCTACCGAACCCTGTTCAAGAGGATAACACTATTTTTAAAAGTGTGCTTATACATACATGTTCACATTAAATCCTTACCTCCCCCATGGAACCATACTGAGGCAACCAATTTCCCAATTCCAGCTCAATTAAGGAATCCTTCACCTGTCCCAGCATCTTGGTCACATGGCTCAAATAGGCGTTACCAAAATTCACATGGTGTGGTATCAATCTAAATTTCAGCACTTTGAGATTTTTGCACCCCTCCAAATTTGGATAAAAAAACGCCATGGCGTCCAAAGTGGTCAAATTGGGGGCAGAATCGATCCAGATTTGGAGTAGGGCCTGAATGTCGGGAGATCTCGGGGTTTCCCGAAAGCTTGAATGAATTATGCACTTCACCGAGGTCAAACCGGGTTGCGGCGGGAGTTTTTGTAACGCCTCGGCGGGAATTGTGTATAACGTAATTTGGTAACAGAGGATGGTAATGTTTTGAATCTTCGTGGACCCCAACGCCCTAAATCCTTCCAGCCAAACGGGGACAAGTTCGTTCCGCATGGAGACAAAATGAATTTCTCGAATTAATTGAGACACTTTAGTTAATTCTGAAAACGCTTTTTTGAAAAATTCAGCATTCTTTTCGAGCGAGGTAATGGGCTTGTAGCAATCAACCCACATGTGGACACGTCGCATCAGTTTGTCGTTGACGTGGGACACCTCACCGAAGTTGGGTTCGGAAAAAAGCTTGTTGAAGCCAAGAAGGGTCCGTTTTCCTAGAAAAGTTGCGCCCACGTCGGCCCAGTCTTGACAGACGAGACGAGACGTTTTCAAATCAGGGACGTCGAGCTTGGCGAAGATGACGTCGAGAATCTGGAAGAAAATTCAACCTTGTTGAATTAAGTTGGCGGGTCAATGAATGGGATGTAATTAACGACCCCCCTACACTCTTAGAAATAATTTTACTTTTTTGAAAAGCAAGTGCACTTTTTACTCCATATGAAGTAAGGTTTACTCCGTATCAAGTAAGCGTTACTCTGGATTTAGTAAACTTGACTTCATATGGAGTAAAAAGTGCACTTGCTTTTCAAAAAAGTAAAATTATTTCTAAGTGTGTAAGCTTAAATTTTTTGACCGGAAAAATTATTTAAATTAAGTATAATTACACATATTTAGATAGGGCTAGTCACGTATAATCAAAATAATTTAAATATTAGTGAATGACAAAGCTTATTGGAGGTGTCATCTACTACCGACGTATTAATCAAATGGTTACAAACGCTTGCAAAAATTAAGGTGTGAAACTTGTGTGTGATACGTCGAAATCATCTTTGAGGTAAAAATTATGGTGACCGTTGAATTAGGGGTTTCAAGGTTAAATTTCGCATTAAATTGACTAACATAAACAAACTAATCTTAATGTTAATGCATTTTGTACCCTTGTGTAACCTTTGAGCATTTTATTAGGGGGGTTCGTTTGACATTTAGAGGGGTAAAAAATGAATTACGTGGGGGCAAAAATAAATGGGGGTTCATTTCTACAATTTAGGGGGCAAAAACCAAAATATTAGGGGGGTCATTAATTTAGTCCCTCAATGAATTGCGTAGTTGATGAATGTTTGTAGGTTGTTAACCTCTTTCGGACGAAATATAAATACAAATACACATTTTTTGTAGTATTTTGTTTTCTTTAGAGGATGAAATTCACACATCTGTGTATTTAACAAATTATTTCACACTGAGAACGAAATGCACTAATGTGTATAAATAATTAAATATAAAAATTTCTAAAAAAAATAAGAGCATTTCTTTCATTTCTTAAAAAAACTGCAAAACTGGGGGGTAGAAGGTTGATTTGTTTGAAATTTATCTTTTCAGGTATTATAGTTAGCCAAAAATACATCCAACCAATCTTAAAAAGTGAATTTTTCGTCGAAAAACTCAGTGAGACTTATTGAAACGAATTTTCCGGAAATCATTAAAATTCTACAGTGTGTCCACTTAAAAACGAGTCCACTTTTGGGGGGGGGTAATAAAAGTGATTTTATTTGTACTAAAATTTTTTTTAACATAAATCCTTTTGGTATACAATACCTTAGTATTTAGTGATGCCTCCACACGCAATTTGCATATCTCTAATTCGTTTAGGGAAACTCTGCGTCAGATTTTCCAAAACAGTAACCGAAATTTCCTTCCATTTTTTTTGGAAGCGTCGAATTAAAGAAGAACGGGTTCGTGGAATTGGCTGCTCATACGCGCTATTCTTGAGATAGGGCCACAGATTCTCGATTGGGTTCAAGTCCGGGCTATTTCCTGGCCAAGTCCCCTTCCCCCAGACTGTTGAAATGTGCTCCCCTAGGAGGCGCATGCTCTCTTTTGCAGTGTGAGCTGGTGCCCCATCCTGCATGAAAGTTATTTTTTTCTTACTTGGAAAAAGTAGCTTATTGTCCATGGCTTCGAAGTAAGTAGGAAGAATTTTGTCACGGTAATAGGCTCCGTTTACATTTTGACCACTCGGAATGATGTGCAAACGAGAGACGCCCCTCGAACAGTACCCAGCAGCAACCATAATCTGAAGACTTTTTTTCGGTGTAGATGTTGCTGGAACCTCCGTTCTTTTTTCTGTCCTGTACCTTGTGTTCTGAGGATTCCCCCGAGGGTGAAGATAAATCCAAGTTTCATCGGTAAATAGTATATGTCGACGTTTTTCTTCACCCCTTTCACCCTCTGTCAAATAGCCGTTTTCGTCCAAAAAGTTACCAAACTTTAACCTATCTTCAATATTTTTGGCAGACAAAAGTGGTTTTTTAGATCTCTTGAAAGCTTTATTTCCCCATGTGGTGGTTTTTAGATGATTTTGAATGGTAGATTTGCTAATCTTTTTATCCATCCGTTTGAATCGATTTGTGAGATTGATGGCGGCCGCACATTTTCGAGTGGAACTGCCAGTTTTTCGGTACATTCTAGTTTTAATCATATTTTTAGTGGTAGGTGACAGTATGGTGGGTTGTCCAGGCCTTTTTTTGTCAGCTGTTGACTCTCGGTTTTTCCAACGCTGGACAGTACTTCTTGCAACTTTGATTTTTTCGGAAATTTCTCTCTCGGAGTATCCCTCCTCCAATAGTGTTTGAATTTCTATTCTTTTCCGTATTCTGTTATATAAATACTTGGTATACATTTTGTAAAAAAATCACCTGTGTAAATAAACAAAGAAAAAAGTTATGCCAATTTGTATTACCTAGTGCTCATGGTAGTTTGGTGGACTCGTTTTTAAGTGGACACACTGTATTTAATTGATTACAATCATGTGTACTATATGTACAGTATGTAGCAAAAGTATAGCTACGATGACATATTTTTTATCTCGACATGATGCCGTAATATTTCAACTTTGAAACTCCGTACAAAAATGTCAAAACTATCTGCCGACAATTTCCTCGTCGCCGATTTTTAATGTCGCAGATAGGTCAAAGGTCAGGATTATTTTTCTAAACAAATTTGAGGCGTCGAAAAAAAAACTTCGTGGATAATTTTTTTTGAACTTTTCAATATTTTTTACTGGATGCGGCGTGCGTTTTGAAGAATAATGAGCTTTGGTCGGACCGTGTACGATTTTTTTGGCGCCCACAGTAATTTTTTGCCCAGGACAGGTTGGAGGTCTAAAATCGCCGCCTTGGCGAAAATTAAAAAACTGAAATATACGTTTGCATATAGAGGGTCCGGTTATGCAAACGTATATTTCAGTTTTTTAATTTTCGCCAAGGCGGCGATTTTAGACCTCCAACCTGTCCTGGGCAAAAAATTACTGTGGGCGCCAAAAAAATCGTACACGGTCCGACCAAAGCTCATTATTCTTCAAAACGCACGCCGCATCCAGTAAAAAATATTGAAAAGTTCAAAAAAAATTATCCACGAAGTTTTTTTTTCGACGCCTCAAATTTGTTTAGAAAAATAATCCTGACCTTTGACCTATCTGCGACATTAAAAATCGGCGACGAGGAAATTGTCGGCAGATAGTTTTGACATTTTTGTACGGAGTTTCAAAGTTGAAATATTACGGCATCATGTCGAGATAAAAAATATGTCATCGTAGCTATACTTTTGTTACATACTGTATATATATATATGTATTTAGTTATGAAACATGGCACCAGAGAGACATTTTATAACACAAATCAGTAATAATTAAATGAATGAAGTTAACTGACCAACGTATTCCTGAAAATTTTCGACGAAGCGTCATCAGCGCTGACACCACTTACATTTTTCGAGTCTGCAACTACATGAACGGAGTGAATTTAGAAAATTGATGTCTCTCGCAATAAAGAAAAGTTTACTTTTTGGGAGAAGTATATTAATTGCTGCATTTACTAAAATTTGGAATACTCATCTCCTCTTGTGAAGTAGTTAGCCGTAATGGCACGTTGTGTCGATTTTTGTCGCCAAAATTCTGCATGTTGTCGGCAATTGTGAGTGCTTCGTTCGAGTCTAGAAATAACAGTGTCCATAAATATAAAATTTGCATCTAATATCAAATTCTTAATTAAAAATGCACATTTAAATACATGCGATGATTGAGCGGTAAAAACTTAAAAGATTTGTTAATTGGTTAAGCAAATAGATAGGAAATCCCTTATTTACCTAAACTAAACTGTGTACAAGGATTGAAGATGACAATGACTGCGTGCTTTTAGCTGCTGTCGATTTTACCCTGCACCGTAAAATATGAAATGCACATTAAATATTTATGGAGGGTATTACTTCGTATCCTTTGGCATAAATTAAGTTACGAAAGGAAAAGTATCGGCCAAGCTTGGTAACAATCGTACCCACCGTGATGCGATTTTTGACGATAAGATCTTATCACGCTTACAAAATACCTTAACTTATTTTACGATACGAAGAATACTAAGGATACGAAGAAATAATTAATACCCTCATTCCTTATTTGCACACAAACACATATTTACCTAGGCACTTGGTGGCACTAATTGAAATGCAATTTGAAAATACTGTTTCGAATAGATGAACCAATTTAGTAGCTTTTTATTTATTTTAGACACACACGCACACACACACAAATACATTTGTCTTCATTAGGAAAGGGTTAAGAAAGGACAAAAAAATGTTTGTCTATGCAAATAGAACTGTCCCTTTCTATTTAATGGGACATTCAAGCATTGTGTGGCTTGCACCTCCTCAGTTTATCTGCTCGCCAGCATCTTGGCTTTTCTCGAACACTTGTGTTCGTACTACATCTTTATTTCCTTCTACAATTGCGATCCCCAGATAAGATTACATTTAAAAAATGGTGCCATGTGCTTTGCATGCTGTGTCACATTTTACTTATTTTTAGGCCGGAATTTGGCCTAAGGTTTAAAGATAAGAATAGAATACTGAGGATCAGTTTTGGCCAAGAAAGGGTTCATTTAACTGTAATATGCAAGTAACGTCATCGTTACTACGTACAACGTATGTACAGATATACAGACATGGACATATATCTGTACATATGTACATACATATGAAAATGTACCTATTATAAACATATGCATATATACATATGTATTTACATATATACATTCTGTATATACTGGTAAGGTGTCAAATTGACCCCATCAGATTGACCCGCGACAGATTGGTCTGGTCATATTGACCCCAGATCATATTAACTGGGGACTGGGGGTTGACATGCGGGGCAGGTCGACTTAGAGATTAAGTCCAATCGGATCAATTTTGTATATACATAGGTACGTACATTTGCACGTATATTTACTGAGGTAAAACTAAGTTTTTTTGGATAGAAAAAATGTTAAAATGTTAAAATGTCTCAGTTTTACATCGCCAGGACTCAGATTTCTCTGCTTTTCAGCCTCAGATGGCGACTTCTTGCCATAATTTCGTAGCAAGTTGTCTCATCCCCACAGAGAACGGACTCTGCTAGGGGTTGTGCACAGTGACATTGCCATTCCGTATGGCTGGGCTCACCCTGTCACGAGACAGCACCTACCCCGTACTAACACCGAGCCGAGTAGGATTAGCAATAGCTTCCCGGCCAGAGGAATCGAACGTGTGACTGCGATAGCGGAAAATGCACAAGGACTATTCTTAGGTACCTATCACCACAAAATTTATCATTTGTCACACAGAACTGCATAATGTTGTCAAAACAGCCATTTTTCTTGATATGTAACAACAAATAAAACAACACCCCATTCTTGACATGCAATTGATTGTACCAATACTTGAAGAAGTTAAGTAATCCAGATATCAAATGTAAGGGCGGGACATAATTGATTTCTGACATTTTTGAGCCATACATAACTACATAAATACTTGCATAATTTGGTATGGTCATTCCTAAGTGTTCACTTAACCTTTTAAGCATTTTGACCATGTATGTCATGGCGAACAATTTTACACGAAGTGCCGGACGAAAACACAACAATTAAAAAGATC